TCCATATTGCAGGTTAAACATTTTGCTCTTTTATTTTTGAGCCAGCTTTGGCATCAGTCCCCTTAAAATATTTCCACACGGGATCCTTTCTCCTCCCTGTCATTTCCTTTCTTTTCTGCCGATCTTTAATGCACAAAAACAAAACATACCACCACGCTACGACTTCGCACATTTGACTGCTGGAGATCGCAACGCGAAAAATTACCCAAAGGCAAACGGTACTTCCCTGACGTCCGCACGGTAGTTTCCCTACGTCCGCTTTTAAATTAGAGATGTGCTCTGATAGGGTTGGATCAAAAATAGTAATAACACTTTCAAGGAACTTCATTAACGTTGATAGATTATATAGGCAATAGTTTTTTTGTGTTTTTTTATTGTTTTAAACATGTATTAACAGTGTTTTAAACATGTTTTTTTCAGCAAAATTTGAATGTTTTAAACGAAAAAAAAAACATGTTTTTTCCAACCCTGCGAAATTACATGATCAAATTTATTCAAGTACTACGAGAAAAAACAAAAGAAAAATAATTATGATCAAATTCATACATTCCACCCTACAATTATTCTGACTTCCTTAAAACTCCAATTTAAGAATCTGCAACTAACCTATCCAACTGGATTACACTCCTAAGATTCAATCAAAACAGTTTCTAAACGACTTTCGAATACATAATAGGAAAATAATTGAAGACCCGAGCTTATGTCCGCCCGATAGAATTCCTAGAGGTAGAATAATCTTGCTGCTTGCTACCTAAGTATACAAAACACCAACAGTAACATCACTCGGTGGTAAAATCAGTTTCTTCCCATGCAAGCGCGGATCGAGGGGGAATCATCGGGGCCATTGCCCCCCGCAAAGACTTGCGGGAAAAATGAGGAAAGGGGAAATAAAGTGAGACCACATTGTTTTTTGTTTGAAAACTCAAGAGAAATGTGCATTTTGTTCTTGCACTGCTGTGTATTTCCCTTCTTAATTACTTCATAATAAGCGCAAATGTCTTGACAATACCCCCTGAAGGTAGGCAACCCATACTACTCCCCCCCCCAAGACGTGGTCCTGAATCCGCGCCTGTTCACATGTTCATGCCTCTGCCTACCAGGATACAAATGATAGATACAGAACATCGGGACTCGAAGCCAAATATATGTGGACGCCTTAAGTAGCTTTTGTTAACAGCAATAAAAATATCCAAAGATTTTTAAATATGATAGGGAGTCTTCAATTTCGACTTTCTCATGCTGACAAGATTTTTACCCAAAACCAAGAGTATAATTTCCCGAAGGTTTTTGATGCTCTGAATCCGAATATAGCGTGATCCAAATTTCTCAGTTTCCTAACCCAGAGGTGCAAAAATAGCGTATATATTTGAGGTTATGTGCCTTTAAAAACAAATATTTGATGACAGTTCGATAGTCCATTTTGTCCATTTTCACAAAAACAGTCACATCAACTCACTCAAACAACTGTTACATAACTGCGCGTACAAAATGGCTGAAACTTTGGTGAGTCACTCTCAACAGTTCACGTACAGGTCGGAAACTATTCAAACCACCGTCGTATTCGGATAAACATTCGTGTTTTTCTTTGGCCGGAGACCTAAGATGCATTTTTAATTAAAATGTTACTCCGGCAGTGACATAACTATTGATAGTCTGTAAACTATGCTGTAATGCTATCATAAAGTGACTCACACGATGCCAGTTCGTGTTTTATAACGGTTCTCCGGTACAACCTAGCGATTTTTATTTCGTTAGACTTGTCATGGGTACTGCTTGCTGGATCTCTCGAAATAATACCTATGAAACACACGCTTGTGTATACCGAGAATGAGGAACTGTCCAAAGATATGCTTCGATGGGCTTACGGGATAAACTTAATATACATGTACGTGTGTAGGTATCGTGCATGACCCGAGAGATCGTGAGTCATACCATAGAATGTTTTATTTCATACCATCAGAATTTCCTATAACAAAAGATGTTTTCTAAGTTAAACAATTGGCTTAGCAGTTACTGAAGTGATATGTAATAGTGACAAGATTACAGATGGAAAGACCTACTGACTGCGAAATAAACGACGATTACATCAAATCCGAAAAATATTTTTATTCAGGAATATGTCCTTGGGTATTTTGCTCACTTATCCGGAAAAGCGAAAATCGAGCTTTCTTACCAGAACTCACGTACATGGTTCATGCTAAAAATTGTTTAGGTACATTGCCGCTCGCGTTGTTTACATAGAAAAGACTAATGCAGAGTGTTGTTACAAAAATGATGAATCAATAGTGCATTTCACCGTGCACAATATACCTTTTTTGCTCCAGTTTTCCCAGTAATACTATTTTCATGAAACTAGAGGCCTGCCCTTGATAATTACATTAATATAGTTATATTCACCTTGATATGGATTTCAAACTTCATTGCACACAGGAAAACACAATCATTGTGTGTTTTATTTCAAACAAGGTTTCCTATCATAAGGTATTTCATATATAATTTTGAAAAAAGCAATAATATAATTATATCAGGAAACTATACAAAACAATGCAACACGGAAAGACCACCAAGAGTATGCCTTCTGGATATGAAGTAGAGTTTAAGAGCAAGCCAAATTTTTAGGAGTCCACCTCAATGACTTCCTGGATTGGTTAAGCCATATCCGCTCACTAAGTAATACATTACATTCAGTGCTATGGAATAAGGTGGTTAGAGAATATATGCATGAGAAGACCTTCAAAATTATTTATTTCACAAACTTTAAGCCAGTAATCAAATATGGGATAATTTGTTTGGGATGCACTAGTATGGTGAACAATGTGTTTAACTATACAAGGCATTTACTATGTCTAATGCACTTTTTCAAAAATAAAAACACGTTTAATTTGCAAAATTATCACAGAAATAACACTAAAACTTTAAATGTCAATTATTAAAAATATAGATTACGACCAACTGAAAAAAGTACCTGTTATATGTGCCTCAAACTGTGCAATAGATTCAAAGATGACATAAAAGCAATAAGCAGTACTAAACAATTTTAATCCTAAATAGATAAACTTTTGATTGATTTGGAATCATACTTAATACAAGATTATGTGGCCGACTATTGATGAAATACTTTTATGAACTTTTGTTTTCTTTATTCAATTTCATTTTGTGTTGTGTGTTTCTCATAACAAACAAATGTAATATATGTAATATAATCTTAAATAAAGCTGCTAGTTATTATTACCCTACATTACTAATATTAATAATACTGGCTTGTCAGTATGAGGAGAGAACAAATAGAGAAGAAAATGGCCAGTAGTATCAGGCATCTTTAGACAAGAACAGTTATGAGCTGTAGACTACACCTGATGAAAAGCTATTAGTTATTCTGGCCAGTGCTCCTGCCTACTTTGAACATTCATCAATACTTTGTGTCGAGCAAGTTAACCCTGCAGTTGGTAGGTAAAGACAGCAGGTTGAATATAAAATTTAGAATTGAAACAAGTTAAACCACAAACAATAAAATAGTAAATAAGCTGCTGAAGTAACCATAAGATTTACTCAAAGCTTTTAGGTTATAAAATGCATTCAAGTTGCTTGTACTTATTAAATTCATCCCTCCAAATTTCAACTTGCTATCTTAACCTGTTAAAGAAATAAGTAGGGGGAGACCCTTCTGAAAAGCATTGTTTATATTGAAAACTTAATTTATTGTTAAAGTAAGTAAATATTGCAACTAAGTTATTATATCCTGATTATAATTGAACTTATAGTTGAGCAGAGCTTCTCAAACATAACTAAATACTACATAAGTCTGAAAAGTAAGGCAATCAAACTGATCTCAAGGTGATATAAATCTAGTAGTGCCTCATTTTTTATATCTTTTATCACCTAGAACCATTGCCTCATCAATGCTACTATAAAATGTGAACCTGGCATGGCATTATTCAGATAGGTAAGGAAGTTCTCAAGGATGGAAACTCTAATTTCTAGCAAATTTTGACAACATTCAGCTTAAGTCAAGGAAGTGCTTTTGGGTAACTTAAGGTAGTCAAGCACTGCAAAGACTTTATGGTGCACTGCATCAGCTGAGGAATAGCTTTGCCAGTTGGCAGCATTATTTACATGTCTGTCAAATTTGAAAGTTTGTTGCTAGCTAATATAAAGGTTATTATGATTCACCACAAAACTATGCATCACTAAACCTCTTTGCTCACAATTTAAGTGATTTGTGTTGAGTGACAAAGTCACCCAATAATGGTTTACATATGGTTGTCCTTTTTGACCCAGCTGTTCAATATTGTTGGATACAAATGCACTCAATGTACAAACTTAAATTAGTTATTTCTAAAACTTAATTGAAGAGAGCAAAAAGTAGTGCAATGCTATTATGCTGAATAGCAGTATCCATGGGCAGCTTTTTCAGTTTGATAGCAGTTTTCATCAAATTTGATAGTTTGTTGCTCAACAGCTGCTAACTATTTCATAGCTTCTTTTTTTCAGCTTAAAAGATCTATACTGCTGAACTGCTTTACGGCGGCTGAGCACTTTCTATGTCCCTAGATATAGTCAATTCATTCCAGCTATTTCTAGATTGCATTGAATAAGCTAGCATTGTTTTTTTCTGAAAAACAATCAGCATCAAATGCACCTACTACCTACAAACAACCAATAGCATTGATAACTACCTAGGTATGCAGATAATTTTTTCAATAAAAACAAGGTCTACAACATAACCAAACTTTTTTACTTTCTGACAGATTTCCAAGTTTAATCCTCGACATAATTAAATATGGAGCAATAACAATAAATCTAATCGTATATCCGTGTCCTATTTTCGCTATCTAGTGTTGTTCATCAGGGATATTTGCTTTAGTTTTGACATTGCACTATAAACACCTGTTGTATATTTTGATAAGCAGAATAAATAAGATTATTTCAACGTCGTTATAGCCTTATAACTACTTCATACACAATATCGATACGAGTATCTAAAAATATTTAGAACTTACCCTTCTATAAGAAAATAGCTCCTTTTGTAGCTTCTGTCTTTCAGCCGTCTGATGAGGGCCTTTAGCTTTTATAAACTTGAACATTTTCCTATTTCAAACAAACAAAGTCCTCTGGAATTCTAAATATCTCACACTATACAGATAATAATACAAAACAAAACAGAAGTGGATATTTATAAAACAGTATCAAAACATCTGTACATGTCAATCTGCACTTTTGAGTAGACAACGCCTGCTATGATAGTCTGGGACGTCCTCAGGTGTGCAAAGTGGCACACAGCGCCTACACTTTACTAAGTACGAAAAAAAGTCACGACCGGTGTATTTTCGAACACGGTGCACTGCCCAAGTTCAACGAAAAATTATAAATAAACCGGAAAAATCTTTGTGAAAATGACGGCAAGCTTGCATAGCTTGTTTGGCCGCATTACACGTAGTTTAGTTTGGTCACTGACCGGCAGAATGAGAAAAGTAGGCGGCGTTCCTGGTTCCTGCGCTTGACATTTTTCTAGTTGGTGGCGTAGCATTCACAAGTGAACTGACGTTTGCAGTTTTGGCGCTCACGGATAGAGGTCAGGCAGCATAGTTAAGAAGGGCTTGCAGATTAACAGCTCGTCCGTAGTTTGCGACGCCATCTAGACAGCCAAGCTATATAGGACTGTGTTGCAATAACCTTGCGTATATACAGGGTGTGTCAGAGTATTTGTACAATCTCTGAAATATGCATGGTTTGCAGAATGCTGAAAATGTTGACACTATTTATGTCTATAAGTCATATTTGTCTAGTGATGATTAAGCAATTAGAATAAGACCGGCTGATAAATGAGGCTTATATGTGATGTTCTAAGTGGACTAGAGAATTCTGTTGTTGGAAGTATATCTCTACCAAGACGGGTAACACCTTTCCTAAATTGCCAGTAAATGGAATGTCAAAATTCTATTCTATCGTATATACGAAAGAAGTTATAAGAGTATTTCAGGATGGCGACGGTAAATTAAGACGCAGAGTCTACAAAAAATTACACTTTATTTACAAAAGACTACAGACAAAAACGGCACAAGAAATGATTATGAGTACAAGTAAAATACAACAGCGGAGGTAGGTATTATTTTCACACCTTTTACGCCCCAAGATAAACAAAAAAGACAAAAACATGAGTAACTATAAACTGTTAGCTTGAGTAGATGGTGTGACGATCTCAAACCTCATCCCTCATAACCTTCCCCATGATATTCCCAATCTTCCTTGATGAAATCCGACGCTCTCTCCCCAATCATAAAAATAGGAGCATTCGTGTGGCCTGCTACAATGTTCGGCATGATCGACCCATCCACAACTCTGAGCCCCTCTATCCCATGCACCTTCAATCGCGGATCAACTACAGCTTCTGGATCTCCCTTAGGCCCCATTTTACAGGTACCCACGTGATGGCCAAGTGACGTTGACACATGTCGGATGGCGCAGGTCCAGTAGGCGTCGCTGCCGAATGGTAGATTAGTGCATTGTGGAAACTGGTGGGGGTTGAGATGCGCTCCGTACTGGCGGAAATGTTTGGAGTGTGCTATCGATATGGCCTGGAACAAAAATTTATTATAACTGGATGCCATACATTCAAATTGGTCTCAACAAAGCATTATAGAGTAATAGCTTGTTGTCCAATGACAATTTAGATTTCTTACCAATAATTCAATACATTTCATGCCCATTTCTTTAGAGCAAAGCAGCCGCGCAGTAGAAGCCTAAATGACAGGGCACCGCGGCTGCTATGTGCAGCTCAAAGAACTTTGTTAATCCGATTTTTGAACTGCCTTAGTTTAGTAGTACTGGGAAAAGCCTCCTCGTGTAGGTTTGGCCACAATCTCGATACCCTAGGTACTAGGGAGCTGTCATATCTACCAGTTCTGGATGTACGAAGTTCGTCATGGTTCGATCCGTACATGTATAGGATTTTCGCGGATGAGTGTGAGGGTACTGTCCTCGCACGGTGGTACCGTGGTATGTGCCCACGAGACATCGTGGTGCAACTAGAAAACGATTGTAGATCCTTTCCGAGTCCAGTTTGTTTCACTTGAACGCCGCAAGATGGGACATCAAGCAGTTCAAAAGAACAAAGGAATAGTGGCGTGAGTAGAATAGAATATGCTTCTGAATTCCTTCAATCCTGAAAGTTCGTTGACAGCTAGTGCTGTGAAGACTAATTGGTTAGGTCGGTTCCACGAAATCTAGGAGATGCGGGTTTGAATCACGTCAGCGCCCATTTTACCAATCTCCTTTCGTCGTCATCGTCAAAATAAAAATTAACTTCTTAAATTTCTGTGGGACAATTAAAAGTAATATATTTTGCAAATTGGTCTCCGCAAAGTGCGAGATGTACAGCGGACTACTAAAGGCCTCCAAAGTATATCAGCCAATAACATACCTTGAATGTAATGGTCGTTCAATAATACCGGCAATTAGTACTTGATTTACATAAGTTGTTTACATATTCTGTTTGAAGTACTGACGCAACTAGGATAGATAACAAATAGGTAGCAGTAAGCTTTTTGAAATATTAAGCATACCAGTTGAGTCCTTATCGGCACTCAAATTGACGCAAAGTGTAAATATGCAGTTATGCGATTGCTAAATTAGTTACACTGATTAACAAGCTTAACTTGAACTTGATTAGGGTCTATAAGGCGGGTTTTCAACCCTGAAAATATGTTACGACCATATCCGAGAGCCTCGCTTTTAGTCCCTGGTCTTTTTATTCAGTTTTAATGTTTTATAACTGAATTCCTCTGGTAAAAGTATCTGGCCATGGACTGCAGGATTCTGAATCGTCAATTACTTTTAAGTACATTAATGTATCACCATCTATTATGAAAGCGGCAATATCTACTGATCACAGTTGGGTTCAAAGAAATTATGTAAACATGTTAACATTTACGGACTGTTATATACGGTTTAGTTCGAAATATTCCTCCAATATGGTGCAATTTGTGACTTATTATTGCCCGAGGCGTCCTGATTTAACACAACTGGATAGGCGTGGGCTCGAACGTAGGTTTGCAGTTGCATTACTTCTTTCGCATTTCAGTTTTTTTTTTGATAACAGATTCTCAGAGCTGGAAAGACAACGTCGAAGACTATCAATTTTCAAATGAAAGGAACATAGATGACTCATGAAGATCACAATGAAGATGTTATGTTGTACATTTTGACTAATCTCTGGTTAACGGGCTTGAAAGATGGCTGAAAAGTCCACAAAAAGGTCCCTACAAACACCACTTTTGCACAGTGTGCCTAATTTGCATAAGAAGGTATCGAATTTTAGGTCACTTCGACGTATAAAGGGTTTTCCATTAAGAACTTGACAACTTTCCCTTTAAATAAAATGCAAGCCATTTGGGATACGGTATCTCGAAAATTTTATTATTGGATTGAGGTATACTCAAAACATTTATATATGGAATTCGACCTCGTTCATATGTCCACAACGGGCACGTTAGCAGCGATTGATTCGTTGAACCCAATTTTCAATGACTCGGTCACCTATTTAGACAGAAACGGCCGCTATCTCTCGTTTAATTTTGGCTCTGAGCTCCTCTAATGACGCCGGTTTGTTGGCACAGACCAATGATTTAATTTAGCCCCGCAAAAAAAGTCTAGAGGTGTTAAATCACACGATCTAGGTAGCCATTCGACAGGACCATTGCTCGATATAACACGTTCACTGAATTTTGATTTCAATATGTCGATTGTTTCACCCGCTGTGTGGCTTGTGGCACCGTCTTATTCAAACCACATATCACTAATGTCTAGCCCATCCAATTAACCAAACAAATATCGTTGCAACATATCTCTGTAGCGATCTCCGTTGATTGTAACGTAACGGTCATTTTCATCAACGAAAATCAAAAGAAACGTCCCAATGACACCACCGGGATGAAAACCACACCCTACAGTCATTTTTTGGGGATGAAGAGGTGTCTCTTGAAGCACAAGAGGGTTTTTACCTGACCAATAAAGCATCTTCTGTTCGTTGACGAAGCCGTTTAGCCAAAAATGCGCCTCATCACTGAAGATGATTTTGCGATGAAATTGGTCATTTCTGGCAACATTTCTGGAGTCCAATTCGAGAACGTACGTCGGTTCATATGATCGAATGGCTTTAGTTCTTGCGATAACTTGATCCTATAAGATCTCTTTGCAAAATTCGCCATAGCGATGCCCAATTCTTGAGAACGCTGTGGAATCGACGAGTTCTGTTCGTTTGCGACGGAAGCCTCAAGGGCAGCAATATTCTTGGCATTTGCCAACTCGTCTCACTGGCACAGAAACATCCAGCAGCGAATATGTGGACTCACATTTTTTTACCAGACTATGAATTGCTTGTCTACTGGGACGAGCATTACGACCAAAGATTGGCGTTAACGCCCTTAAAGTTTCAGTTACCGAGTCGGAGTTTCGGTAGTAAATTTGAATTATTTGTAAGCATTGTTCGTTCGTGTACTTCACCATGATGACAATATTTTCTTTACTGAATGTTTTGACATTGACAGTTCGGTAAAATGGATTTAAAGGTGCGTTGGCAGTGAATGTCCAAAGTGGTCAAGTCCCTCTTCGAAAACCCTATAAAACAAATCATTTTACCTAACAGAATAAACTGTATTGCCGTCTCAACGCAGGAAATATAAATGCAAAATAAGTAGGCAATGAGCCAAACTACTCGACACCACTTTGATTGTTTCTTCAAAGGATGCTATTTCTGAACGCTAATATCAAGTGACCATCTGCTTAGGGAAATTTTAATTTGTCAAATGACATTTTGAAATAAATGTTTTAATTATATCACTATAAATATCTTTACTTTCATAATGATGCTGAAGAATTTCACAGTAAACTGCGTACGACACCTGTGTGTTGTATATTACTCGTAATGTCGGTTTACGTAATATAGGAATGTTTTGGTGAGAATAAAATCTAGGGCAAAATTAAGCACCATTGCAAAACTGCAAGGTCACAATCCGAATAAACAGTTAGTCATACCTCGTTAATGACAATGACCTAGAGGAAGAAGAGTGTATTTCAGTGCAGACACGATAGAAACAAAGCAACTATTGTGGCATAGCCACGTTATTGGAAGGGGTGAAGAACGGTGGCCAAAAACAAAACATTAAGTTACATATAACAACATAGAAGAAAACGAGGAGGTCGACAATTTTATGGCAAGGTGGTATCCGTCAACTCATGAGTGACAGGGCTTTGGAGAAGGAACACCCCTCTTGTATATACAGGGTGTCCCGAAAAAAGTGTGCAATATTCTACCAGCGGTTTCAAGAGCTTAAAATAGGAAGAAAAGTTTATATAAACATAGGTCGACAAACGTCACCTAAGGGCGCTACGGTCTTTTAAAGGAGCTCCCCTGAAGATGATTTTTCCTTAATATTTCCGAAACGTGTTGAGATAAAGACATAAAATTTGGTACTCTAGCCTAGTTTTTTATGCTGGATTTAAAAATATTAACAATTTTAGACAATTTTGTTTGGAAGCGTATGTAACAGGGACGGACTCAGGTTATTTGAGCCCCAAAATTTTTGTGTGATCCTATTTTTGAAATTCAATTTTAGAATTTGAAAATCTAGGGTTTTCTACATAAGAAAGGTACTCTTATTGAATATCGATAAATTGTGCCATTTTTGAATAAAATGAAACTAAAAAAATTGTCACATGATAGGAAATATACTGCGAATTTAAATGAATTGTTGAATAATTAGCCATGGCAACGAAAAAACTAATTTAATAATTGGTAAATATTACACAAATACATATTTCTATTGCAACCTAGCTAACATTTAGGCAAAAACAAAAGAAATAAATTTTTTCTACGAACGAAATTGATATTTGTTTAAAAAAAGAAGACATACAGCTGGATATACTTAAAACTAGCTTTACAATAAGTGTTCAAAATAAATTCCCATTTTGTTGGATACAGAGTCTCGCTCGACGAACTAATGATTGCGTAGCCCGAAAAGTGGAAAACCTTTTTATTCTTATTTCATTTGCAGCCTGATGGATTCTTTGAAGTAAATCTTGTTGAGTATTTACTTCAGTCGAGTAAACTAGGTCTTTTAATTACCCCCAAAAATAGAAATCCAATGAATTTAGGTCAGGTGAACGTGGCGGCCACGCTATAGGACCTCCTCGGCCTAACCACCTGTCTGGAAAATTGACCATTCGACCAATTTCGAACATTGCGTCCACAACGTGCAGGGGCGCCATCATGTTGAAAAAACATATTTTCTTGAAACTGCTTGCGCACATCCAATGGTATTATATCCATGAGCTCATTCTGCAGAAAGTTCTGATACACCTCTGAATTAAGACGATTGGGTAGTACAATAGGTCCAATTACTTGATCCCCAATTACTCCTGCCCATAAAAGATCAATGAAAATCTATGTTGGAAATTTGTACGGCGAACAACTTTTGGATTTTCATCTGACCAGTGATGCATGTTATGGAAATTAAAAGCACCATTCCTAGTAAATATTGACTCATCCGACCATAATATTCTAGGAATAGTGTTTTCATTTGCTAATATCCACTGGCAAAACTCGATTCGTGGTAAAAAATATGTCTCCGTTACATGCTGCACCCGTTTAAAATGATAAGGATGCATTCCTTGCATTATTGTGATTGTTCTTATCTTAAATTATTATTTTTAGGATAACTATCAAATAGGTATTTATAAATTTTTCTTACTATTGATCGAGGTATATCCATAATTTCTGAAACATTTCGTATGCTTATTTGCGGATTATTTTCAAACATATTTAAAGCAATACCCATTCGGTGATTTCCCAATGGCCTTCCTGAGCCCTGCATGCACTGAAAACTTCCATGGTTTCACAAATTCCGGTGAATATCAGTAAACATTCGACGTCCAGGTAATATGCGATTGGGAAATCTTCTTTGATATTCTCTTACGGCTGCCAATGAACGCCCATTGCCAAACCCGTACACAAAATGCATGTCAGTCAGTTCTCTGTATGTAAATGTTGGCATTTTAAATCGATTTAATAAAAATTTTGATTTTAATCTAGTAATTTTACACTGCTAACAATGTCAGCTTAACGTCAAAATAAGTCATAACAAATCAAAACAACTTTTGTTTGCAGTCATGGCTAACTATGTATAATCAACAATTCATTTAAATTCGCAGTACATTTTCTATCATGTGACAAATTTTTTAGTTTGATTTTATTCAAAAATGGCACAATTTATCGATATTCAATAAGAGTAGCTTTTTTGTGTAGAAAACCCTAAATTTTCAAATTCTAAAATTGAATTTCAAAAATAGAATCACACAAAAATTTTGGGGCTCAAATAACCTGAGTCCGTCCCTGTTACATACGCTTCCAAACAAAACTGTCTAAACTTGTTAATATTTTTAAATCCACCATAAAAAACTAGGCTGGAATACCAAATATTATGTCTTCATCTCAACACGTTTCGGAAATATTAAGGAAAAACCATCTTCACGGGAGCCCCTTTAAGACCGAAGCGCCCTTAGGGGACGTTTGTAGACCTATGTTTATATAAACTTTTCTTCCTATTTTAAGCTCGAGAAACCGCTAGTAGAATATTGCACACTTTTTTCGGGACACCCTATATAAGAGCCTCAAGAATTTCTCGATATCCACATGATTTCTGAAGCATTGCGCACGGTTCTGACTTACCATCTTGATCCCTTCCACCATAGTAGCGACATCTTCTTCTCTCTCATAGTAGTTAGGGTAGATCAAGGGCCAATGGAAAGGATTTGAATCCTTCAGTGTGATCCTTCCACGACTCTTAGGTCGCATTAACACCAGTGCTATTCCAAATGCTGGCTTGCCCACAATTGGCCCATAAACTGCATTGAAGAACGTATCAGGGATCTCCAGTAGCTTTCTGAAGCTTCCGAATACGTCGCCATTCAGAGCTCCAGCGCCTAGGACTAGTTCCATGTCAGGATAGTCATCCGTGGTATTTGAAGACAGTCTTGTTTTGACGAAAGCTAGAGCTTCAGCACCTCCTGGCAGCGTATAAGGACCGGTACCTGCAAAATGTAGTACCAGCAGGATTGGCAGGGCTGTTTTCACCATCAATACGAGGGTAGGCTCAAAAATAAGGTTCCCGCATTTTTTTAAAGGCATTTTTTTATCTGGAAAAACGAATTTACCACTGGGATCGTTGATCTTTAAGCTATTTTTATACATAGTCGCCATTTTTTCTACGAATTTTGGAATCCACACCTAGAGGCCTTAGGACTTACATGAGGTGTTATCGATAACCTTGAGGGAGAAAATATTACTCAAGGACATAGTTGAACACATACGGGGAGAACCAAATTTAACTGATGGCTTGAGTTCAATGTGGGAGAGAGAGAAGCGCGATGTGTATAAACACATATGATACAAACAGATAGAGCCACCAGACAAATTAGGTTCTCCTCGTAGAAAATAATTCGCGTATGTACTTAAAATAATTATGCAATCGAAAGAAGTGTTATTTACCTCGTACCATGTAGTTGTAAATGTCTACAGGATTCTGAACAGTCAGGTCAGAAACTGTAATGCTTCGGTTCACCAAAAAGGCCAACGTTGACATAGCGACGTGATCTTGAAAATTATAACCTACTTTGAGATCTTGTATCACAGGTATCTTCACTCTTTCCAAGTCTTTTCTAGGGCCAACACCTGACAACATCAGGAGTTGAGGACTATTGATGGCACCGGTGCTAAGTATTACTTCTTTCTTTGCTATTATTTTATACCTTCGTTTGTTCTTCCAAAATTCGACACCGTAAGCTTGTTTGGAAGAAGGGTCTATTAGAATCCGTGTAGCCCTGCTGTTCTTTGAAATGTGTAGGTTAGGTCTATCGTGGACGGGGACCAAGAAAGCCTTTGCTGCGCTACATCTTCTGCCATTTTTCATCGTGGCCTGAACTTTGGAGAAACCTAAGGGCAAAATTATGATCCTTCAGTTTAAACAATACAAGGTATTTCATAAACATACAGCAAACGTTCAAGGAGCTTGTCCAGGTTATTATGAGAATACTTTTCCGTTGATATTAGGAAAGCTTTATCAGAAGATAAAGTACGTGATTTTTCTTGGAATAAGATTATTTCATTAGAAATAATATAGTACTCTAGTAGCTGTTTTGTCTTCCACCCGTGGAGCACATAGATTCTTTCCTCACTCTAATGAGATACATACATATTTTTAGCCTGTAGTAGCCTGGGGGTACTAGCCAAAAAGCAGTTATCTTTCTCAGTTCACTATAGGCTCATCCATCTAGGACATGAGTGATATACCATCTGACAACAACCAAGCAAGGCTCGCTGTCTGCCACCCCATCCTGACCATACGACCGGCCCACTCATTACTTGGGACTCCGATGAGTCTAGAGACCCAAAGTAGGGACACTTCTTAGTCATTTCCGGCCTTCTAGGCTTCTGGGATGACCACCAATTCATAGACACTTACTTAGCTCCTGATGATATTCTGACGTAACCTCGATAATTACTGTTTTTTTATGATTAAGGCATTTCATCAGCAATGACATGAAAGCGAACAAAAAAGTTTAACTAGTGGGAGGAGCAGATATATAATTTGTGATATGGAACTTTGTATCTAGCTTTGTATCTAACTCTTTTGCTGAACTTCATGGTACGCTTTAGCCATTCACTCAGGCTAACAATGTTACCATAATTCATTTTTATTTCGACTAAATACAAGTTTAGTCCAAAAACAATAACAACCTTGATAATTGGCCTAAGGGGAGAGCATAATCATGACCATCGGCAGACAGCTCTGTTTCATGCTCCTTAGCAACTCATCAGTGCGGTATAGGGCTAGTCTTGGAGAAGCAAACAAGTGTTTTTTTTAAATCAACCTTCATTATTGCCATAATTTGGATATTATAAGTTTTCGCTAGTTTCCTGGAAAGCACCATTCTCTCCTGGGTAATAACCATATGTATACGGTTATATTACAACGAATATTATACAGCTGGGGCACCATATGGAGTGTAAATAACAGGACCGGGTAAATGTTACCTAGTGAAGAGGATACCCTTATCAATATATCTGTAAGATAAAGCCTGAAGACTTCAACTTAAAGAGCAATCCTGCACTCCTGGACTAACGCTGAAATAGTCCTGGTCCAAAAATATATCAAGTGCCTGTTTCTCTACACAATGAGTTAGAAATGGCTGCTTTCAGATACCTCTTGGTGAATAAAAAGTCTGATCATCTTCTCGCTGATTTCTGAGCCTCTTCACCTCTTCACAGCAATAAGGTTTAGTTTTTGATATATGACGGCTTGTGAGTATTGTCCAAATTGTATGGATGACCTCTGCTTTTTTAAATTGTCTATGCGTAATGAATTACTGATTGTGCCAGCGCAATTTAAACACTTCGTCTGGTACTAATCTCATTATAATTACTAATTTAAGTAATTTGGTATATATTCTGTGTCTATGTGTGCAAGAGTTACGTAAATGCACCAAAATGAATCGTAATACGATTAAAAGTAGCCTAACCTTATTAAGTATATACATATGATCTCTTTGATCGATGTTCACAAGTTCTTATACTGGTTTGGTGGTCAGGAACTGTTTTTCATGCTCAAACAGCCATGATGCCCAAGATTGAAAGTCAGAGTGTCGAGTTCAATGTGAGCTATTCATAGCCCTCCAACCTATTTTTTGAACGGGTTAAGTTAGCAAGCTCAAATTCGGCATGATAAAATGAATACACCACTCTAAATAATTTAAGGTAGCAAGAAAAAATCTAACTTTTTTGGTGATCTTTGACTTTAAAAAAATCATTTTGAAGCTTCAAGATTAGATAGTTTTCAGGTTTTATAGCCGAAAAATTTCAGGAGCAACGGTTCCCATGCAATTCTATCAGATAGCGCAAGATGATTTTTTTTCAATTTTTGCCTTCTTTTTAGTTCACCAGCTTGAAGATATCTTTTTCTGCTAGGCCATAGATAGCATATTTATTCAGCTTTAATATCCTGGTTTTAGAAAATCGATCGCATTTTTGGGACTGCTAATGGAAAACCTAATGTTTTTAGGTGTTTTTCAACCTACCCCTGGTCGGTATTTTTGTTTTTTAACATTCCATGAATAAAATTATCCAATAGTGACAGCAAAAGAAGAAAAATGGTTTATCAATTATTCCAAATTATTACAGGATTTTGCTCCTTGAGATATAAAAAAACCTTAAAACATTAGTCCTTCTCATTAGCAATCAAATCTTATAGGAGAATCGAAAAATTTGGAATTTGGATCCGAAGTATGCTCAGACTACTGAACGAATTCGTTAGCTTCAAAATTTAACCACTACTTTCCCTTATTTATAAAATAAAGAGAAAATATAATAATGTAAATATAAAATAAGCATAGAATTTCCTTCAAACCAAATCATTTTTACTGAGTGTTCTATTTTCATCGTCGCATATCAAGTAAGATATTTTATTTTAACGTACTCGTATACCTAAGCCGTTCTTTCCATTCGGATCACTGTTCCTGTACCCCAAATCATTTCCTGCCTCAATGAAAAGCTTGACAAAAGGACTTTCGTATCCAGGATGCTCAATGTTGAGGTAGCTATTATTGCCATGGTACTCCTTGTCTATTTGGCGGCAGCGCGTGCAATTTTCTGATTTGATGAAATATGGCAGTACCTCGTCGTAGCTCCAGCCTTCGTTGCCCATTGCTGCCCAGGAGTCATAGTCCTTCCTGGAAATGATTGATTTTATAAAAGTTGTTCATCTCTGGATTGATTGACTAAAATGATTTGATTCAAACCATCTCTTCAATGGCGGCAGCTGTTTAGGGCTGAAATTAGTTTTTCCCGCATAACCTCCTCATTCTAACCAAGGCCGAGATAAAACCTAGCCTGTTTGATGTGTTGCTGCCCCGACTACATTGTCCATGCTCGATGCTCTTTTACCGCTAGGCCAAAGGACTTCGGCTTTCAGAGATGATTCTGCCGCGAGATGTGCCTCTCAGACAGATCCGCCTGATTTTGGCCTTTTGCCGAACTGCGTACATCCAGAACTGGTCCATATGACCGCTCCTCTGCTCCTGGGGTACCGAGATTGTGGAACAAACTACCTAAGCAGTTCAAAAATCGACATTTAGGTTTCTGCCCGCGCGTGATTCGGTATAAAAAATAATGGGGCATAACGTCATTTAAGAGGACTGCATTCCTCAACTACTCCTTACTGTTTTAGCTGGCTTGATGTCATTTTTCGAAAACACTGCGTAGCACAGGCATGCACCGAGTCAACGCTACCTTTAAACCTGACAGCATTGCGTGGTTCAGTGATATAACCTTAGCCAACCTCGTTCCATGTGTACCAGACAGGCCGACATAACTGGCTAAAACGGATATCTGTGATATGAAAGAAAGCGTAGTATCTCAAATTTTTGGGACGGACACTGAAGCTTGCGACAGTATGCCGAAGATAGCAATAGAAAGGACTACAGACTATACAAACGACCTTTAAAAGTAGAGTTATTGCTCATTTAAACAACAATTATGATCATTTATCTTCTCAAGTAACAGACAGGTTTTGATTTTTATTTTCTTACAATGCGCTGTATGCTGTACACCCAACAGTTTCAGTTATGGTAACGATGGTGTCATGTTAATAAAATAAATTGACTGTAAGATATTAGCATTCATTACTTGTCTTCATTTTCTACATTGCAGTTTCTAACAGATTCTTAAGAAGGCATGTTGACTGTATTCAGTGATGTAAAGTCAAGAATCCGCAAATGTGTAAAGCTGAAGTCATCACCTTTTGTATTATGTTGCTCACAGATACAGACATTGAAGTCTGAAAAAAGCGAGCTAGCGGACGCTTTTGATCATCTTCCCAAACTAGACTATAATGCAATTTGAGGAGCATGGCCTTCTATGGTCCACTCACCTTACTTATTTTTTTTCATGACTTTCAAAAGCTTAAGTTCTATAAAATCTTTTCCCATGGTATATATCGTTTATCAATCTTACACATTTAGATTTTGATTTGGTTATAGTTATTTTCTATATGTCAACACGTTGCGAGTCCCGAATCAGCAACTTTGATTCCGTTTTTTCTCTTTCTACTCACCTATTCCCTCGAGTGTATATCATAAAGTTCAAAACCGATGTTCCACCAAGCGCTTTTCCTCTGGTTATGCTGCACCTGCCGTAGTTTAGCCCCAAACAAGCAGTTTTTATCCTCTGAGCATGGTAGTTCCAATTATAGGCTGTTACAGATTGCAGAGCTGCTATCAGTGGAACGTCGGAGAAGAAATTTTCTTCCTCGCCGGCTTCCAGAAGAAGCACTGACCATTTTGGATTTTCGGACAGTCGGTTTGCAACTACGCATCCTCCGGATCCTGTAACAACAGAAATGGTCAAGATAATTAACTCAGTTGGGTCTAAGTAGGAGTAACAGTAGTGGACCTGGCAAGTAGATCATTTTTGGAACCACTCCGCTGAGTGTGCAACTTCACTAGCAAGCTCGTTGGCTCAGAAATTCTCAGCCCTTCAGCTGCAATGGAGTCGTATCATTTTGCTCCGATCCTGGTTGAATGTGTCCTCTGGTGAAAACTTTGAAACGAAAATTTGATAAATAATGTTCTTTTAATGCTTAATGTCTAAGAAATATAAGATACAAAAATTTGTAATTCCTCATACTTAAAATGTCTTAGTTTCAAACAGAGCTACAACAGAAAAAAGGGACACTGATCATCAGAATTGATTGTACCACCACTCTACCCAGGATTATGTCTTTCGCCATAAATCTTCAAAATGCCAACGACTGCTCTTTTGTAATTGAGGCGGTCAGAAGCAAAGGGGTGTAAGTTCATGTTTTAGCATTTTGAGAAAAACAGGTTCAAAGTTTAAGTTGTGTAAAAAAATCACGGGTATTTCAAAATACTCAATATAGTTTTTTTCACTTTCCAATATGCTGTAAAAGATTATTTTTATAGATTTTAATGCCATTGAGCTGGTTAATCCAAAAATACAGGTACAGTAAAGCGATGGTATCACTTACACCCCTTAGCACTTAATTTTTGAATAATACACTATAAATCTTATTTTCTTTACCCGTAATTGCATATGGATTCAAGCAATCTTCTTTATAAAGGGTTTTTGTAAATTATTGCACAATAACAAAATAGCAGACAGATGAAATTGAAAGTTTATTGACAAAAAAAAATGTATACAAAACAAAATACTCAGAGGTTTTAATTTCAATCACCAAGCACTGACTCGCTCTTAATTTCTAATCATCATCAGATTCCCATTCAGCTGAAACATCTGCAAAATTTTCAACAGAAATGTCTCTTTGGCTGACGTTGGCATCTACTTCTCTATTTTCGTTTGTTGCGGAAGCTACGCTTCCTCGATGTCTTAGTGATGAATAAAAGTTATGGTAAATGGGGGGAATAAACTGAAGGAGTTGCTGGAGGTTCTCGTATTTGGCGGTTTTTATAGATGGTGGTTCAGGATACAATAATGTAAGGTCAAATTGCGTATTTGGACGGCCCTTTTTCTGTTTTCTAAGGTCAAAATGCACAAAATCCATTTCCTCATTCAAAGTGTTCTTGTATTGAAGAATATTGGGCTTATCTTTTTCCAGTCGAAACCACTGAATATTACGTATCCCTGGAATACTGCCTTTTATCTCTTTTTTCATCTGTTCAACTGACAAAAAATCTTCATTTCTCATACGTACAACAGTAAACTTTCGACTAGCTTGAGCTACTATTTTGCTCCAATCATCCGGGACAAAAACATATTGATTTTTCTTCTTTGACTTCTCGATAAGCCCGAAATCTTGGTCGCACTCCATATAAGAGTGACCAGAAATTAAAAATTTGTGGTCAATTCTACAAATGGAGGTTGTCTGAACAATATGCCTCCAAAATTTTATAAGGTTGTTATTTTTATTTTGACCGCCTGTGTTATCGCTAAATGCGATGATATGTTCTACTGAATTAGGCAGTTGCTGAACATATCTCAATAAGCATGATCCAATTTCTTGGGATCCCCTAGACGCTTCACCCTCGTGCCACATAAACATTGATGCTTGATCATTTGCAAGATTATGTATTGCAAAATTATAAGTCCACAGTTGTCTCAGATAGAAGACCTTACTACAAGTTAATACAGGCGTGGGGAGAGTTTTTTCTAGATCAAAACATATTGCATTTACAGTATTTGGATTATCCTTGCCCAATTTCTTGACATCATTTTTAGCTGATCTAGCCTGTTCAGCTTTTCGTAAATGAATCTCTTTCTGGATCTTACTATCATTCACTACTTCAGGATTATTGTCGTTATTGATTTTATTTTCAAGGATATCGCATATTGTACATGTATCAGTGTGGGGCCGTTTGAAACGAAGATTGAATTGCGTTGTAAAAATAAATCTATAAAAGCTCTCTTTAACAGGGTTTTGAATGTCATTTTCTTGGCAATACTGCAAGTAAAGGTTATACATTTTGTGGATGCTTAGTTCGCCTGACAAATATTTTGTATGCGGATTTTTGACACGTGAATAATGGCTCGAGTATTTTGGAAATGACTTTATGTGGCCCTTTATTATTGCAATATCGTTGTCCGAAATCTTATTTGCTGGGGTATGCCTACCACGTTGGTCAGTTGGCGCTACGCCTGTGCGGTTTCTTTTTTTTAAAACGTTGTCACATCTTTTCTGACTTATGTTCAGAGTTTTCAACAAAAAGAGTTTACACACTCTTTTTCCCACTAATTTTATTTGAACGCTCACCTGTTTACGTGGCTCAACACCTAATTTTCTTTTCAAAGGTGCACGTGTTTCCATACAAGCGGTAAGAAATGCCGTTTGAAGATTCCATGAGCTCAAATTCCAATAGTCTTCAAAGATTTGTTGGCGATCTTCATTTGAAAAACTATTACACTGGTATCGACAGTGATGATCTGCCAGATCTTGAACGGCTCTTGCTGGTTTTAGCAATTTCCTATGACCGATGAACTCCCCACCACTGTTCCTGAACTTCCTGGCTTTATTCCTTATCCAAGATGACTCGTTTCGAACCCTTTTCCTGCTACGCTTTATCTGGTGATTGCCTAAATCGCCTTCATCCGACTCTGCTTCACTCATAGATGAAGATTTATCTGGGTGGTAGTCGCGATCTAGATCGCTATCATCGACAGGTTCTGCGAAAAAACAATAGGAATTTAAATCCACCTCAAAAAAACAAAGACACAACAAAAAACAGTGAATACAAGAATACAAAGCAAATTTAGAACATCGTAAACCATGAACATATGAGAACAATAAAACTCTACTTCCTAACCTAAAAAACATCTAATTTCAACTTGATTTTTATCGTACTTACCATCTAACTCAAAATCCATCATAATATGATTGACACGAATAATATTCACTGATATTATTGAATAGTTATTGTAAAAACAACAATAATATTACTTAAAGCACTGGCATAAATACGCAGTACACTCGCACGCAATTGCTTTATTTGGTCTATAACTTGGAGGCAAAGAGATATAAGTGCACATACATCCCATTGCCTCCAAGTAAGTTGAAGATATTGCTGAGTACTTTTTCTTTTAGCGGATAGATAGAGCCACCAGAAAAGGATTCATGTATATCCCTTTGCCACCGAATAAAATTGTGCTTAAACAATTTGATTGTGCCCATAACTCGGTTTTGGTGGAAAAGTCACTTACATCCCTTTGCTTCTGACCGCCTCAATTAACATTAATAATAATGTTTACGATTTTGTTATTAAAGTATATGATTTCAATTGATAAAATGTATTGTTCTTGTAACGAACTGGTAGAAATAATGTTGTTTCTAACTCTTGCGGAAAGTATCACTTTCCGCACTTGCTAGGAAAGTAACTTAAGTGAATTCAATTCTGAAAAAAAATTAAATATAATACATGTTTCAATATGAGTAATATCGAAAAATAGTATCAGTAACCATTATGACACAAGCACTCTATTTGATTAGAATCAGATTATCAGTGAAAACGATTTCTTTTGCATCCGAAGCTCCATTTCTGATTAGCAACATATTAAGCAGCTGCAAGAAAACTTGAATGAAAAATACAATTATCTGATGGTATTGGTATATATATCTGACACTTTTGTAACTTGCTTCATTCTGTTTCTAACAAATGTGACCTCTGATAATATATCTATCGGTAGCAGGATCACCGAATATTTCTACTGAAAGTACAGAAATGATTCATAGTATGATCTACATACTCTGTTTACATGTTGCTTTTTTTATTGGACAAACGGCAGTTCTGCCATTGGATCAAGATCAAGCAGAAAGTATTGCGCATTCGGCTGTGGATTGTATTGTGGAATTAGCTAGAATGCATCCACGTTCACGAAGCATCCACTTTTCATCATCGATGCTGAAAAATGACCACCATGAACTGATTAAGCTAATTCCCAATGCTTTATCAAGAGCAAATAAGAAAGTTCTTCTCAACCATCTTGGCGGGGCCAACACCGTTTTCAAAGACATGTGTTCACAACATGCTTACACTTATTTCATACATATGAAGAACATAGAGGATATTGAACATATTATTAAATATCTATCACGATTTCCACCCTGGAATTACAATGGACACTTCTACGTAATCTCGAGCAAGCAATTTGAAAAACCTAAAATTATAGCAAATCAAGTAACCAAAATGTTGCTGAAGCATTACGTTACCCGTATTTTAGTTATCCTTCCAACTTATAGAAACAACACAAAATTCAACATATACTCTTGGTCGTATGAGAAGAACAAGTACTGCAATATTGATCATGTCAGAACCTTGAAGTTAAATATTTGCTTTGAAGGTCACTTTACGAGAAACATCACACTGACCAGAACAAAAAAACAGTACTTGAACGGATGCAAACTTAGAGTTGGTTACCACAATATACCACCTTATGTTATCAGGACCAAAGATTCCTATGAAGGAATTTTAGTGAATATACTTCGTTATTTAGCCCAAACCCTAGAAGTGCAACTTGAATTTACCACAATTCAAAGAGAAGAATTTAAGGTTAGCAACAGGGAAATAGTAAAAGAAATTTTCCGCCTTTCCGAGGGAGAAATTGATATTTCAATGGGACGGTATTTTGGATGCCCTCAGAAAGAAAGTAGTACCTTTGACTGCACCTCCATGGTTTTCGAACAGATGGTATGGTGTGCACCACATCGAATAGGACGCATTTGGAAGGAAAACCTACTAGACGACTCCAGAGTGTATGTTTTGTTTATGTTCACGTTCTTCTTATTTACGTTTCTCATGTGGATAGCTAGTTGCTTTACAAGAGGTGAGAGAAAGTACTATAGGAGCTTAATGTTTGACATATTTGACAACATAGGGATTATTGTGGGTCATTCTTCAGGAAAGCAGCCTAAAACGAACCTTGTACGGTATTTCATCTGCCTGTTCATATTCTTTTGTATGTTCTTGAATATTGTGTTTAGCAGCTTTTTTTGTAGCGCCTTGACAACATCACACAGTACAGAAAAGTACGGTACTTTGGACAAAATCTTTAAGGCTAATTTGGAAACACACTACTTCGAAGATAAACAAATATTACTTCATTTAACATACAACAACAGTAAAGCATTGTTTAATGTTCGAAAGGATGAAATACTGAAAGGATGGATCCATAATCCAGATTATACGAAAGGTTTAATGGAAGTAGCGAGGAACAAGATTGTATACAACCTTCCAGAATTGCTTAAAGATTATCTGCTTGGAAATGTCAAAAAATTTGAGAAGATAAGGCCAAAAATTCACTGCTTGCGGGAAAAGATAGAAAATGTACCGGTTGAGATCTTAGCCCGCAAGGGGTTACTTGTTGATGAGCAAATTAAGTTCAACCTACAGCATGCTCATGACTTTGGTTTGGTAGCAAAATGGTGGGAGGCCTTCCGAAATAGACGATATAAGAAGGTTTTAATGGAAAATAGACCAGAAGAAAACGTTGAAGTGTCGTTCAAACATCTTCGAATTTATTTTGTATTCTTTGTTGTCATGAACACGTTTAATATTGTCGTATTCTTGTGTGAGCTCCTTTGGTATTGGAAGTATAAGCGAGTGACTAAACAGTTTTGGAGCTTCCTACTTTTGAAGCTTTATGTACAAAATTGACAAGGAAAGAGGCAGCAGCTTATAAACTGACTACCCCATTTTGCCATTCTGTTCTGAAGTTCCAGATGTTTTTGGGCTGTTAGCCCGTTGTCTGCTATGACGAACGCTTGGCATCTTTAGAAGCATCTCAGAAGCTCTGCAATTGACGTCTAGGTTGAAACTGACTCACTAATTATAAGCACTGACTTTTCCCATGGCCGGTGTCCGTATTTATCAGTACCCCGGCACAGGAATTACATATCTTGAAAAGTGACATTTCGACTATTTGAACTTGTATAAACAATAATTCACTGGAAAGAGTACCAAACATACAATTTTTATTGTTAATAGTGTATGAACATTTGAGCTGGAAACATCACATAGAGCATGTAGCCAAAAAAAGGAATTACTGAACTTAGTGAATAAAAAACACTTATTAAATGTCTTTTACTCTATCGTATCTACCCATCTTAAATATTTTGCTATATTGGGGATCTGTTGAAGCCCAACGGATTTTTATCATTCAAAAGAAAGTAGTCAAACTCTTATTCTCACTGCATCCTCCAGAGTCTAGTCGAAAAGACATTTAGAAATGAAGAAACACTAACATTAGCATAATTACTCATTCTAGAGGAGTGCCTTCATGTGAAATCATATCCTTCCAAATTCAGTTACCTAAAATTCCCAGAAATACAATCTAAGGAATAATACAACGTTACATCGAACAGCTATAATCTCAACACATACCGTAATAGCCCTGACTAACATACTGGTATCCTGAGTCTTAGCGCTATAATTGTTAATAATTACATATTTATCTATTTTATTGATTATTTAACTTATTACACACTTATGCTGCATATTTTTTCTATTCTTCTATTTAACTATTTTTTCTTCTGAACAAACTTACTTTTTGCTACTTATTGTATACCTTATGATCACCTATTTCATTCTAATTTAGTCATGTATATTCTTTTTGCTTATGTAAGTCCTTTCCTGTTGACGTTTAGTATTTATCATTATTATTATTATTCTTATTATTATTATTGTGTGATCTATTTTATGGTGGAATATCTGATTGAGTGTTATCTTAAAAAATTAGTGACGGACTGGAAATCATATGAATACGCATGTCTATATCTACTGGGTGACTTTGAAGTTGAGTCATTAATTTTCAGATCATGATTGTAGAAGGAAGATAAACCAAAATATGTGTGTAAAAATAAAAAAAAATAAAAAAAAAATGTTACCTTGTTTAATAAAGTATCCTCCCGACAAGTATTTCAGTGCGGACCTGTATTTGATCGTGCAGTCTTGGAGCACCGGCATGCTCTCACCTGTGAGGTCTTAAGTCACCTGATTCACGAGCCCTTTGTACTACACTAACAAAGGCACGAGGGGTTGGTTGCACTCGATTGGGAAACCGATTCGCATAAATCCGTGATGCATCCGGCAGCATTTTGTAAAGACTGCCCCCCCCGTAAATAAGAATCATGTCCACAAGTTCAGCATTTTCGTAAACATGTGCCATTTTTCATTTCGTTTGAGTCACGCAACAAACATCACTATTCACCCTCGCGTTACCGACTGACGAAAAACAACGTGATAAACGTTTCAAATTCTTTCGCTTTTTTGTTTCCGATGCGATGAACCGATATCCGTTGTTGCCAAACACACAATATTATTATTGAGACAGGGCGGTACTCAAACTTCTAAAGGGCTATAACTTTGTTACTTTAATTTTACCAGAAAAATGTTAAAGGAAAAAAACATTTCTTTTGATCAGATCTACTCACTGTTAAAATAAATGACTCAACTTCGAAGTCACCCTGTATAAAAAGAATTATTTGTAATTCAACTGTTTTTCCAATTCCTTATGATAAGGAACCTGTTGTACCTCTGTACAATGAGTCTAGGAGTCTTCAAACTTTCAAATTCACTTTTCTCGAAACTTACTTTTTGTGATATTTCTTTTTTCCGCTGTACTCTTCAAATCTGGATCAATTGGCAATGGATAAAACTGATACAAGGAATTAATCAGTAATTATTATGGACGAGACCTTCGAAGTATATTTAATTCATAGTAGAATAAGATTTTTGTGAACTGTACAAACTTGCTTCTGTGGATTTTCTGTTTGTTTACCATTCTTGATCTGTACACGCTTTCATATTGCTATCAGCTTTTTTTGTAAATTATCCTTTACTTTACATATCATGCGAATGCGATACTTCTTACGCTAGTAGGCGTGGGAAGGAAACATCAAAAATCAGAAGCGCACAAAATCGATAGATAAACCTTTTAATATGTAGTTTAAATGCATTTCACCAAGAATCTCAAAACTGTATCCAGTGGGCTCGGGATCCGCGGTTTAAGCCCAAGAGCACTTCACATGTATGTAATAAAGATATAACCTAGCGTTGCCTGTTATTCATTGTTTGGCCTAAAGTGTCAAAGCAAGACCAAAATACCTTAAACAATGCTGTTTATTTTTGTTTTAAGAACTTCAATAAGATGGTAGCAAAGCAGTACTATCTCGTAGGTAATGTTCTTGTGTGGCGATGAATGTAGAATAATAAGTGAGTTGCTGAAACTTTTTGTTTATCTCAAAAATTAATGACCCAATTTATTCATTTAAGGTGAGTCATACTAACGTAGTAAAGTAAATTACTTGAATGCTCATTAATGTCTACATGGTTAGTCCCTCCCTGTCAAACAAAAATATTTAATAGGACACTGTCTTATAAGGCACTTAATTATAACTACCCCGTCAAAGAGCTTCTAGGATTTTTTCTCAAACACCTGTTTTCTCTACAGGCTAGGAACTAATACATTTTTCTTTAAAGTTTCTTCTACGATTTTCTCGTGGCGTGCATGAATCCAAAGGCATTCTCTATAGCAAACCATACCGACACTCTGCAATACGAGGGATGTCTTTTAAGTTTTGCATATGGAAATAAAACAACACGGTAGGTAGTTTTAAATGACTTTATTGTTTTTCGAAGTATTCTCCACGAAGATTAATACATATCTGCATGTGCTCGAACCAATTTTCGAAGCACTTATTCCACTCGTTTGCTGGCAGATCCAAAACGGCATTTTTGAATGCGTCAAAAGCTTCTTCTGTTGACTGGAACCTTTGACCACGCAGTCAGTTTTTAATTTTCGGGAAAGTAAAGAAATCGTTAGGACTTAGATCGGGGGACTATATGGAGGATGGTCCAATAATTCCGCGTTTTCTTCCGTTAAATACTGCCATATTTTTTGGGCTGTGTGCGAGCTTGCATCGTCTTGGTGGATGATGATTCTTCTTTCGGGGTTGATTTTTCGAAGCTCGGTGATGACTTTTGGCAAACAAATGGTGGTATATCAATCCGCAGTAACAGTTCTTTGCTCATTAAGAGGAATTGTTGCAATATGACCCGCTTTTGACACAAATGTCGCGACCATCTTTTTCGAAACACTTCAAGAACGGATGACTTTTCTTGGATTTTCTTTATTTTGGAACACCCAAACAGCCGACTATCGTTTATTTTCTGGTACATAACAGTAAATCCACGATTCATCACCACTAACAATGCTGTACACATGTTTTGAGTTTCCGAATTGAAACGATCAAGCGTTTTTTGACACCAATAACTCTGGCTGCTTTCTGCTCTTCAGTCAACAGGTGGGGTATCCAACGAGAAACTAATTTTCTTACTCCTAATTCTTCATGTGAAATTTTTTGAATAGAGGTCTTTGAAATCTTCAAGGACGCCTCAATCTCGCGATATGTCACATGTCTATCTTCAATGCTGAGTTTACGCACAGCATCGACGTTTTCCTGGGTGACTGCCGTTTTTGGTGCACCCACCCTGGAATCGTCGCTAAGACTCACCCGTCCACGTTTGAATTCTCCATATCAACTGGAAATAATCGACTGATGTGGCGCGTCGTTGCCGAAAACAGACAGTAACTCAGCAAGGCATTCTTGTTGCGATAATTGTCTTTGAAAGTTGTAATAAATTATGGCGCGAAAATGTTCTCGGTTGACTTCCATTTTTCTAATGACTTGCTGACACTTAAAAATTCACTGTAGTGAGAACACGTATTATTCGATCCGCGCGGTCTACTATATTTCTATATGCAAAACTTAAAAGACATCCCTCGTATTATAGTGATTTATTACAAACATTAACTGTAATTTACCGTGCATAAATTAATTTATTATGAACTAAAATTTACCTGCACCAATCACGATAAAATCATACTCTTTCTGAAACACCTCGGTATCTCGAATCACCCCATCAGTGGCGCGAAAAAAGTTTCTCAACTCCTTCAGCCAGTCTTGAACCTGGCCCTCACAGACAACTATCACTGTTACCATTGTAATGACATGGGCGCCCAAGATCATGTTACACTTATCTTGGAGGAAAAACATTCAACAATTATGACACTCGCAAACACTAAATGATGGTCGTCGAATCTAAAAATAAGCACTTACAGAATGATTAGTAAGCTACTCGTGTTTGACGGTGTACCAAACTGTCGAACAGTCGAAAAAAATATCTTAATCTCAGACGGCCTTGCTCATCACCCTACCACACGAAAATTCGCTCGATGAGAGTAGCACGAATTAAATGATGGTTAAAAAGCATTTCATTTTGGTATGATCAAGGACCATTACGATTTAAACTTTACATCATATCGCTGTGTACGGCAAATACTTGTATCGGGTGTGTTCTACATAAAACCTGAATGGTCAGCCAGTTGTTTTGCAACTAAATTTATTGACATCTCGATCCCTAAAGGCCAACAGCGACATACAGGTAATACAAGAGAAGTGATACTCGTTTACGATTTTCGAGCTCAAATGTAACGATCCCGGAATTGGAAATAGTACCGTAGACTTAACCTATGTCCAAAAAGTTGATGCTGTCGTCAAATGAGGCGGGTACACTTTGCCAATTAAAAAAATCATTATCTTAGATGACGAAAAGTATTCCATTTGAAATATGCAGATAAAAACGTTGGTGGCTGCACAATTTCTTCTACCCCAACCTTTGGCGGTAAGAGTGAGGGGTGAAGCTTTGAATAGTTAGAGCTACATTGATAACTGCATCTCCAAATTACTTCAGTTTCTTCACCTTTTCTTAACCCACGCCGTATGTCCTGGGTCACTGTTCTCACCAATAACAAGGCGATTTCAACTTGCGACATTTAGAGCAGTTCCTTGCAAGTTACTGACAGGCCAAGGATTTGCGGACTGACCGTTAGGCATAATATCTCATTTTCGAAATTTTTCCTTATAACAATGCTTCCTCGCCAGAAAACTTAGGTGGTAAAGTCACTGATAATCCGATAACAGTACTTCCCCATTGCGTTTCTCTGTTTTTTGAGTGATTTTGAGCAGCTATGTTGAATACCTTCCAGGAGAGCTATAGTGATAAAAGATGTATGACAAGCAAGTTAATACTGTGTGAGTGATTGATTTGACAAGATTTTATTTCTGAAAAACACTACTTATACGTTTCCCTTTCAGTCAGCGTGCTTAAGAATACAATTAGTCTATTTATAATCCGCACGTTTACTACATAATTAAGGTGTGAAGCATTAATCTGAAGAATTTGGAACCAAATTAGTATGGTGCTGAAAAGATCTAAGATTATGCATCTCTTCATCAGCTTACTTATAACAGAAAGCCGAGGTATAGGATCACAGTTGTGACGGTCTTAGATCCCTTATTTTGGGATGGGTTGGACATGAGAAAATTACCAATTTTCTGGAACGGTACCGAAATCGTAAAATATTTGAAATAGATGCAAAAGAACTGGAGCTGGCTCCGCTGCACATCTCCTAAACTTATAAATATCTCCTCACAAAAATACAGGGTACCCAAAATATTCTTCGAACAGCTTAATTATCAAGTCTTAAAATCACCGACAGCAACTATAGTAAGCAACTCCCAATGAATTTTGCCCGCAGAAGACCTTTTCCATGACGCCCCTGCGTTTAAACATGCCAGACGTATCTCCATATATCGAAAAGCATATCGAAAATGTTGAAGAATCTGCTGGAGGCCAATTCTTAAAAACGATGACCTGAAATAACCGATCCAAAGTTTTCTCTTTAAAAAACCCGATACGACCGCTCCTTAGTCCCTAGGGTGTATATATCGTGGAACAATCTACAAGAGAAGGCTTTTCCCAATTTCACTAACATTACGCAGATCAAAAACCGCACTAACACAGTTTTTTGGGATCCCCGTAGCAGCCGCGGTGCCCTGACATTAAGGCTTCTACCTGCGCAGCTATCAATCTGGCCGGGTATTAGGTACTGGAAATTTGTTACATGGACAGTTTTTCTAGGGTACATCTTTTCAGAAATACTTTGCAACCTGTGTGATCTGAGTAAGTATACTATATAGGTACAGGGTGTTCCTTAATGATATGCGAATATTTAAGGTTGTGAATCTACATGAAAAATTAATGTTAGTTTGCTTTATAAATTATGGTCCAAAAATGTCTCCTTACAAAAACTCGGAGTGTGGAAGTTTTAGGAAAAAAATGGAAATTTATTAATATTTTCAGAACTGCTTCAGATATTTCACTGATATTTAGTACGTAGTGAAAGTTAATAAAGTTGCATATTTTTCAATGCAAAAATAATTTTTAGCTTTAACAGTGGCGTGCGTACGGGTATTAACTTCGATATCTTTTAAGAAAAAAATGGTATCTCAATGACTTTTTGCCAAATAAAAATTATTTTTGAATTCCCGTTCAATTTAAAATAAATGATCTAACTGGAGTTGCTTTCCTTCGATGCGCCATTTTTGAGTTAAGAAATAAAAACCGTTCTATTCTCTAACTTGCAAAGTTGCTATTAATTTAATTGGAAAAGTTAAACACGTTAGGGGTAATGAACAACAACAACTGACGACATAAACATAATATTAAAACCAACGAAACGATTACAAAAATTGTTGTAATTGGCCCCCTTCACTTAGTATGCATGCTTCAGCCCACTTTCTCATGGAATTGCGCACTCGTGAAATATCCCTGTGTTTTTATTCTATCACAAGTTGCAACTATTCTTTCTCTTAATTCTAGTGTCCTAAGATAGTTCCACAAAATAGGGTTTCGGTTACGGCATAGGGATTTTCTTCTTAAAATATGGTAAGGATATAACAAAAGATCCACTAAAATTCTCCAAACAATTTGATGGCAAATATTTAAGTGTCTAGCGATCTTCCTCGTACTCGCTTCAGAATGTTCTTTGACTTCGTGCAGCACTGCTTCCTCAATTTCAGGTGTTCTCACACTTAGAGGTCTACCTTCAGATGTTCCTTGTCGGATAGAACCAGTTTCAACAAGACGACGATGAATATTAGAAGAGGTTCGACTATCTGGCAAAGCACGATCGGGATATCTCTGGTGATAAATCCGTCTGGCTTGCTCACCATTACCGTCGGCAAGGCCATATGCGTAATGCATTTCCGCCATTTCTGCATTTGAATAAGTCACCATTATTATTTATTATAAATTCCATTCTTCAACTATTACATGAATTTTCGGTTTTTATTTTTTTACTCAAAACTGACGTATCGAAGGAAAACAACTCAAAAGAGATCATTTATTATAAATTGAACGGGGAATTTAAACATAATTTTCATTTGGCAAAAACCATTGACGTAGCATTTTTTTCTTAAAAAATATCGAAGTCAATACCCGTACGCACGCCACTGTTAAAGCTAAAATGTATTTTTGAATTGAAAAATATGCAACTTTATTAACTTTCACTACGTACTAAATATCAGATCTGAAAATATTAATTAATTTCTATTTTTTTCCTAAAACTTCAACACCCCGAGTTTTTGTAAGGAAACGTTTTCCGGACCATAGTTTATAAAGCAAACTAACATTAATTTTTTATGTAGATTCACACCCCTTAATACTAGCATATCATTAAGAAGCACCCTGTATAGTGTGATCAAACGCAGTATATAAGAATTAGTATTTTTATAATTTGAAACTCTTAAAGCATCATTGTGATTTACCAAAGTATAACAGGGTTCCATTGAAATGTATTTTTAAATTAAAACGATCTATATTTAAAACTTTCTTACAATTTTTTTTTGTTAGTATATCGACTGATCTGTAAAAATTACAAGGTGGTCCCTTGGGCCGGGAAGTTTTGATAATGTTGTTATTCCGAATCTATGCATAGTTGGCTATGGATTGTTTTTTGAAATTATCTGTCACTGTATGCCATTTAGTAATCATGAAGCAGTGGTCTGGTGAGCAACGTGCTTTGTGATTTAGTATCGACATTTCCGACTTTATTTTCAAATTGGTCGACATGGCAGAGTTCCTTCGGCTCATGTTATAAAGGGATGGTTTCGTAAATTTGAACAAACAGGGTCAGCTTTCGATGTCAAACCTAAAGGAACAAAGAAAAGTGTACGAACGCCTGGAAACATCGATCGTATAAGAATAACTGTGGTACACAGTCCAAAATGTTCAACCCGAAAAGGAGCCCATACGTTAAGGATTTGTAATACATCCCAATCTTCATCCATACAATATTCAAATTGTCCAAACACTGAAACCACTTATCCAGACAAGGCGCGCTTCCATTTATCCGGATATACCAACAAACAAAATTGTCGTTATTCGAGTTCAGAAAATATACAGGAGCTCTACCAACAACCATTATATAGCCCAAAAGTGACGGTATTCTGTGCGATGTCTTCAGTGGAAATTATAGGGCCCTAAGATGAGAATGAGAATGCTGTTTCCATTAACTGTGTGAGTTATACCCATATGATAACCCAGTTTTTGAGTCACCGCTTGAGCAGATTTCCACATGATAATCAAACATGGTTCCAGCAGGATGGTGCTACTTCACACACCACGAGAGCGTCATTAAGTTCTTTGCAAAGATTGTTTCGGAAACATGTGACTTCCCGACGAAGAGACACTGACTGGCCGCCAGGGTCGCCAGACCTAACGATTACTTTTTGTGGGGCTACCTAACGCAAAAGGTGTTCATCAATAAACCGAGAACCTTTCAGGAGCTTAAAAGAAACATTATTGAAGAAATTGCTAAGACTCCTGTGAATATGTAGCATTATCTTATGGCGAATTTCCACGAAAGAATTCAAGAGTACATACAGAGAAGGGGAGGACATTTACGTGTCATTATTTTTAAGAAATAAAAATGGCATATTACTAGTTTGTTAATGTTATACTGTATTTTATTTAAATTAAATTGCCTCTTCGTGAGAAACTTAGTATGAAACGTAGGAGCAAAATCCTTTTTTTGCAAGAAATAAACTGTTACATTTTAGTGTTTTATTCTATTTTCTATGAAGTCGCCTGCAGCCTTAATTTTGGCAAATATTGAAGTAATTTTGGCGTAAATCCTTGGAGTAATCTATCAGGTACCTCACAACTAGTAATCACATGTATGACAGTTCCGTACTGTCAGACTGACGAAGCTAGTTATTAGCTGAGTTACATCGCTGTACGTTGCGAAAGGGTATATTTCAATTTACTTATAATGGAAAAGGTAACGAAGAAAAGAAAACGTCGATCTAACTTCACTCAAGAAGAAATCGAAAGACTGGTAACTCTCGTCAATATAAGGAAGGACGTTATAGAAAGTAAGAGGAATGATTCTGCAATTTGGGTGGAGAAAGAGGCAGCTTGGAAGGAAGTCGAGAGGCAATTTAACTCCGTCGGAGGCAAAGAGTATCGTGAGGCTAAGCAGCTGAGGTTTAAGTACGATGCTGTGAGGCGAGGGACAAGAAGAAGAGTCAAAAATGTTCAAGGGTGCAATACTTCTGCTAGTTTGACGTTAGCAACTGGAGAAAAGAAGTTGTTTGATAACGTGCCAATAACTGCGGATTTAGAAGACGATGTTGATGCTGTTCCATTAGCTAGTCAACCTCCAGCTATAGGTAGCTATATATTAGTTCTTAGTTATCCAGTGTTTTTCAAAAAGGTCCCTCGCTACTCATTTTTTGAACAGGTCAAGTTAGCCAGCTGAAATTTGGAATGATGAAATTGGTACAGGAGCACTACGTTTCAGCTTAAAAGTGATAGTTTAAAATTTTAAGATGACGGGTGGGTACCATTTCGGAATATGTTCTTAAAAGGAATGGGGGGTCATGTGATACTTCTTGAGTACTTTATCTCTATAGAATTTAGCAGGAACGCTGTCAAAGTTTAGCGTATTACTTTCCACGTCTACTGCCATGGAAGTATGATAATCGCAAAAACTGTCAAAAATGAAATTTTGTGTTTTTTAGATGTTACGTGGTCTGTAAATCAATTTTAATTTATTTAAAATTTTCTTATTTAGATGTAATTAAAATTACATATTGTTACCCTCAAAATAACTTTCTTCTGAAGCCACACAGCGCTGGAGAAGGTTTTCTCACTCCTCATAGCAGTGCTGGAATTCCGATACTGGAATAGAGCCTTCAAATGGTCGGCTATAGTCGTTTGAAAGTTTTAGACTGTCCCAAAAAGGGGTTCTCTTGAGGTGACTCTTCGACTTAGTAAAGAGAAGAAAGGCACAAGGACTCACGTCAGGCGAATAAGGAGGCTGCAGTGCCACATGAATGTTTTTACTGGCCAAAAACTCATTTATCGACATAGCTGTGTGACAAGCAGCATTATCGCGTTGTTCTTGATCCGATAAACGGTGGTGTGAGTCAAATTTAATTCTTCCCTGATCCCGGATTATCGGTTCTTGAAGACCTTCAATCGACTCTGTCTCTCTTTTGAAAATGCCTTAAACTACCAAGTCCGGCGCCTCCAATGTTGCCAAATCAAACGTTATGTTGCCAGTCTCATTATTTAATTTAAAGACCTCGTATGTGCCACTCATTTTCGTCGGCCTGTCTATCTATCTGTCTGTCCCTCGGTCGGTTTGTCTGTCATGCTTTGTTGCATATTCAGATAAATCCCTCGAAAAGAAAAGATTGACAAAACGTTTTGATGAATATCATCTCGTTAATCCGCCATTTGGAAAGATATTCGCGCCTAGCCGCCAGCATGAAATTTTCAACTTCAATTTTAAAGTTATAACATAGCAGTCGTGCACACGTCATCACCCCGAATTACAACATGTCAACCTGGCCCCTTGAAAACACTAAGTAGGAAGTACCTTCATGAAAAAAATTGCATGCTACCAACTTAACAAGAAACGTGTTGACTTTAGTTCTTAATTTTAGATTATGCTGCTAGAAATGACTGCGACTCACAATCAGACCGGGCAGAATCAGAAAATGCTCCAACACTGATTACAGGGAAACCAGAGTTGCATGAGGAAGTAGATATAAAACCGACAGTGTTGTTGGAAAGATATGATGGTGTATATTTTTCAATGGCTTTCAAAGTTTCTTTTATATTTAGTATTGAACAGTAGATTAAATTCGCAAGGAGAATAGCGAAAGAAATTAGAAAATGACTATAATTTGGGTCCTAACGAGATGGAGTACCCGCCTTTAGCTAAGTTTTTATTCCTTCTAAAATGGTATGTTTTAACTTTCAGATAAACCCATAGTAAGAGATCCTGTCGATAAGCTTGCAGAAGCAAAGCTGGAGATACTGAACTTACACAAGGCTATATTAGAACAAGAGTTAGCACAGAAACGGGAAGAGTTTGTACATAAGAAGAGGCTTTACGAATCTGTAGGAGTACTGAATTTCCTAAAAATGAAAATACTCATGACGGAACTGGAAAAGCCAAATAATGGAATGCATATGTAAATTATCTGTACTGCAAATGCGTGTAGTTTGTAATTTGAGGTGCTTTGTTGAGTTTCTCGTTTGAAATAAAACATGTTAACGATAGATGCCTTTTTAAAATAGACGTTTTAGAGGGTGATCCCTTGTTAAAAAATATGAAAAAAGTTCCCATAAACATGGCTTCTGAAATGCAGAGTTTACAAGATACAGGGTGGTAAATAAAAAAATATTAATATCTGAAAAAATATTTACTCGATTCTGTTGAAATTTGGCAATATTGTTTTGTATGTTAAGAGGCTAATTATCATTGTTTTCCAAGGCACTTGTGATTTCTTTAGCAAAAATTAATAAACCGATTTTGTCCAGTAACATGCAATAAAACTGTTTTTATTTTTTTTGAGATACGAAAAAACTAGAAGGGACAAAGAAGTTGTAGCTTTGGATCATTAATCAAACAATGAATAATAAGTTTACAAAAAAGGCCGTTGCGTATATTTTTTTGCCAAGAATATCCGCTAAGCCCCCTCCCCGGGACGCCACTGGACTTAATAATTTTAATCTATTCAGGAATAAATCAGCCTCTTGATACTTCAAATGATATTGCCAAATTCCAACAGAATCGAGTAAATATATTTAAATATATCAATTAAAAAATTATTACCCTCTCTTAAACTCATTTCCGGACCCACGTTTATATAATTTTTTTTCAAATTTCTCAACAAAGAATCACCTTATAAAATATCTCCGTCTATTTTTCGAACACCCTGTATAGGTATAGGTCTTCCGCGGTTATATCGAAAATCCATCCATCGTGGATTTCCAAATTGATCAGATATAGTTGGAGCACATCCACCAGATTTTGCACATTATCAAAACAGATTGAGTATCTCGTACTTCTTTTCAAAACTCTCCCTTTCTAGCTAACAAGTTTGTTATCCCTAATTCACAATATTTATGTAGCTAGCGACATCTCTTGATGGAAATGTGTATCTAAAGTCCGGTACGTAAGGAAAACTGTTACGTCTTTCGTATCATTTGTATTAAAGCTTCGTTATATTTTCAACAGAGGCTGGCAGTGGGTACTTGAATTTACATTGGGATTGGGACATCTGCTATCTTCAAATTTTAAACAGTATCCAATGCTCTTGCGAGAGTGAACAATATTGCTGTTACGACCATACCACTGTCAAGTATATGCTTAACACGTTCAGTAGTTTCTGGTTCTTTTGAAAATGTAGCTCAAAAACCAAACTGCCGTTTGTCAAGATATTAGTGTTTAAATAAGACTCAATCTTTATTGCATTGGCTTTTCCTATGATTTTTGAAAAAGTATTTAAGAGGGCTTTTGGGGTGAAGTCTTCTAAGGCTCACCTTTTGTGAATTTAGAATGATGCCTGTCTCTTTGGAGATACTACAAATGTTGGTCGCTAATGTTCAGTCTGACAATTTGCAATTTTCGGACAGCGAAGAATTCGATTCTTTGTATACAAGTTTTCCGAATGAATTTTGAACAATTTTACACTTCAAAGTAGGTCTACTTTGTTTTGTGGGTTTTCAGTGATTTTATGGCGAGGTCATAAGAAAAGATGATTGAAAACGTTTTGAAACTTCATACATCTTTGCACAACTCTTCAAGTTGCGCAATTCTTTAGTCGTACATCTAAGGTAACTAACTAATAGAGTAACATTGTTTTCTAACAAGCTATCTATAGCTGCATGTGGCTCCCTGATGACATCAAGGAATCAACAATTTAAAGGTGTTTCACCGTGAATTTAAAATCATCCTTATTTATAAAGCAAATTATACCATGTATGAGTTCTGCAATTCATTTACTTGAGATTTTGTCTAGTCTCTAGTTAGCTTTGTCATTAAGAATGACAATAGAGACTATAAAGCATATCTATTTATCATTTACATATATATACGTATATATAGATATAAACATGTTTAATATATGCATCTAAGTCATTAACTGTGTCTTAAATCTACTAGAAGACACAGTGGCGGTTGAGTTTGGGTTGGGGAGCAGATTAAAAAACATCTGGTTGTATATCCCATGATTAGTCAACATAACGTAAAGATACATTTTAGCTTTCATCTTACTATTCGGCGTTTCGTTGGATTGTTTTCATGAGTTTTCCCAATTTCCTAAAACATTTATTCATTTATTTTTATCTATCTATTCCATGTTTACATTGTCCGAACAGTCTATGCCATTTAACGGAGAGGAAATTCAAAAATATGTATCTAGAATGCTGGTAATACAGTCATACACAATAGATTTCTGATTAACAAGAACGACTTAATCTATGGTAGCAAAACATCTTTTAATTTCGCGCATATTACAGAAAAATATATCTACACGGCACTTAATACATTCATAACTATTAGATATTACACTCAGGAGAGAAATGTAATGCATTGCTTTTAGATACTTACAATATTGAAAAGAACGTCATATTGTCCCTAAAAAGTCTAACTTTTTTCAGCTTGTATGAGAGAATTTACATAGTTTCATGTTTCAAACTTGTATAGTTAAAATGAAACGACACATTTTAAAAAATTGTGCAAAAGGCTTACCTCTTAAGCGGCTTGAAAATCTCACAACTACAATGCGGTTTTCAGGTTGAAAAGAATCCAATAAGGCACTGATATACAGGAAGTTCTTGAGGTTTCGAAATTCTCATCAAAAATTCGAAAAACCAATTCCAAGATATTTTATCTCGAACCTATAAGTTCCACAAAACTATGAAAAATCGCGGTTATTAAGGATATAACAATATAGAACTGGTGATTTTTATCAAAATGCCTGAGACATTGTGCCCGTAAGAAATTATTTTCGAAATAACACGTTCTTACTTCCCATGCCTGGTGCGAGGAAGTATATAACTTGGAAAGTAAGATTTTGACAAAATTTTCACACAAGGTGACTACTATGTGCCACGCCTTTTTTGGTTAATTAATAAGACACAATGATAAATACTATCTAACGGTTGGTCCTAGCAAAACAGTTGTCTAGTGGCGTGCAAATTCAGGCCCTAGCTTAATAAAGCGGAGAGTAGGGGGGGGGGGGTTAAGAGCGCCAGTGACTTAGGACGGATTAAGCCACAACTCCCCGAGATGCTGGTCGGAACTTGTTTAGCTTGACCACCACACAAAAGGAGAATCTAACAGAGATGACGAAATTGAAGTAACAGTACATACAGAGAGAGCCAAATAAAACAAGATATTAAATGAATCACAATATATTGATTAAGGGCAGTAGCGGTGGCCGCAGTAGTAGACTCTTCGGTCTCCTGATCAGTCGCCGTGCGCTGTGCGGGTTCGAGTCCCGTCCCAGGAGAAATTTTTCTCTTGGCTATGGATGTTGTGATTGTCCGTAGGTGGTAGATGGTCTCTGACTGTCGAACGCGGAGGTACCACCCGGCGGTTCTCGTAGGCGGAGCCAGAATGTGTGCATGTTACATGCACATGAGTTCCCTCGCCAGAGTCCGTGTGGCGTCCCCCCTTTCCCATGTATCCCCCTATAGCCCCACGGTCCCCAATGGGTGCTTAGGCCTTAGGCCTTCGTGGTAGTTGGAGTATAAAATAATAAAAAACGCACATGTGCTCCTCTACCGTAGTGCGTGCAATAAAAAAAAGAAAGGTTGTTATAAATCTTAAATACAACCTGACAAAATTATTTTTCGAGATAACCCCGCGAAACGACTACCATGGTATACGCCCGAAGTATTTACAGATATTTTGCGCCTAAATATTAAACTTATCTGTAGGTCTTCTTTGTCAGGCGCGGCCGAGGTGTCCTCAACTCTCGTCAAAAAGTGGCCAGTAGTGGTCACGTAACTGGGCAGGGGCTGCTTGCGCCGTTGCCAAAAATTATTTTAGTAAAAAAAACCCTAGAGAGAGAAAGACTGTTTAAAATCTACTCTACTCTCTGTCTGAGATAAAACTACTCATTGAAAACAATCGCACTTGAAGCAAAACCATGTACATTTTTTTGTACAAGAAAAGTAAAGCAAAGGCAAAAAAAGATAAAAATGTCTAAGCTAATATACCCTTGTTCTAAAAAGTTATGGCAGCTCAAAAATCAAAATCATGATCAATGTAATAGAAGGTGCCATGTGGGCACTGCCCCCATATTTGAATACGTAGAATGTCCAATAAAATCAAGAAGTCTCTAAGAATTTCAATGAGCAATAATAAATGTATAAAGATCTATGAAATTATTAATTAGAATGATATTTTACCTGTTCACATCTGGTTTTTTTCAATGGGATGGCTTCCATCGATTTGCAAAACTGCAACAAGGTGCAACCAGCTGGAGGAGAAAGGATGATGTTTCTCTTCTGTTTCTATTGACTAAAAGAAAGCGGATATTGAACGAACGTCATCAGGACACGCAGTAAGGCACGTGGTCCGAAGGTATATAAAAAAGAACTTACCGCTGAAGGTCAAAATCTAAACAGAAAATGGAAGACGTAGCACGCAAACCAAAATGACTAAACTTAAGTTACACAAAAAAGGGTGCTAGTCCATGAATTGGCGCTTGGGGCCTAATATCCCAGAGTCCGAAAAATGACGAAACGACCACTGCACCACGACCTCAACGGAAACAGAAAAGCGAATCACGCTGAACACAAGAAGGTATCTTGAGTGGCCTTGAAGAAGATAGTTTTTATAGGAAACCAACTAACGGAGTTTTTTGCTGATCGTCAACATCATACTGAATCGTTGAGAAAGAAAGATAGAATACGAGTGAAATTATACAATCAATAAACTACTAAATTTGCCAAAAGAAAATCATTGAAAAGGGTTTGGTCTAGCGAATGGGCACTCTATTATCAATGAAGATAAATTCAAATGATGAATTGATAAATAGTAAAAAATAGGTTACGTGATTTTGTCACGTGACATATGCCAAGGACGAAAAAGCTATGTAGTTTTTGAAAATCGATCTAGTGGCGGTGGAGCTAGAAGCAAAACCACGTAGAAAAAAAATTTATCAATTTCCGTCTTTGACTTGATTTTCCGAAATATTTCGTTGAGGTTGGAAATCGGGGGTCGGGGTTTACTCACCAATCAATACATATTTTACATACCAAAGATTTTCCTCATAACATTTCTGGGGCACGCGTTTTGTCGGGACGATGCGATGCAACGGCGACTTCCATAGGCCGAACCCTACCTTGCGTTTGACAGCATCGCCGGCAGATATGTAGTAGCGTCGTAGCTGGCACTTATGACGTGTTCGACTGGAATGATCAGCAGCGTTGCCAGATGGCCGATACTTAGGACAGAGAAGAAACTAGCGTAAGTGCTATCAAAATGACGGGGACTATGGACTTTGTACTTATTGTATATGGGCCTGTCTGAATGAAATGACGGATTTAATTTTTGTGTTGTACATACTTGTCGCCATTTTTGAGGCTAGTGACAACCTATCGATCTGGAAATAGATTTGAGCCCAATATGCCTTAATTTGGATCGATCTAGATTTGGACTCGTTTGGGGGCAACTTTCATATATAGCTTCGCCTATGTCCTTTGTGGGGTGAATAAGTAACCTACAAATCAGGAGCTTTCACCTCCTTCCTCATTCCGAAAGCTGTAGATATCCATTCACGACGTAATGGTGATTCTCCTAAAAATTTGCAAATTTATTCAAAAACCAATTGGGGGGAGCCGACGGGTAAACCCCCGTGCGCTCGTCCTATATACGCCACTGGTAAGTCACTTTGCATGCAGTAATGCATCTTCTAGGTCACCGCTTACAAGTTTCGCTGATGTGTAGCGTAACATTGGAAAATTATGAAGGCAAAGGACGTAATGCTAGCGCATACGAAGATGGGAAATGCTGTAATCATAGTGAAAGTATTTCGCTAACTTTAATATTCTTATGAACAATGCTAATTCCGGTGCTCCAAATGATCATTCTTCAAAAACGCAGGCAGTTTTGTTCAGCCATTGAAAGTAAAAGTTTTATTCGAGCTCGTTTCGTAGGAGCTTGTTAACATATAGTTTTAGAGGTTATGAATGGAATTATCCAAGATAAGTTCCTTGTTTGCAGATATTTCTTATCAGACCTACAGATTTCGCCTGTTATTTGGTTAATAATATATTGTACATTATCTCTTTATTAAAATTAGCAAGACGATGATTGGGCTTTCATCAGTCTTGATTCTGCACATGTGATCCCAAAAAGAAAACTCCCATTACTTTTATGAATGTCTTTTTTATCCATGATGTTATGGTCGATAAACAAACCCACATAAGATGAAGAAATTACTTTGCTAAAGTCTAAATTGCCTCTGCAGCCTGTCTCAAAGTATAAAGTTGAAAAGTGTTTAGATTTCCAAATATACAGCTAGTCTTTCAAGCCCCCGATTACCCATTGTAGTAGACATATTTTTAAATAGTTGGGCTGTAGATTTAACATGGATTGTCTTGCAAGAGAATAGTTTAAATATGTTAAGGTGTTGAACTGTTTCGGAAACTAATTAGAGTACCATGTTCGCATTCTATATTGAGATTTTTATTAACACATTCAAGAATTTTAAGTGTAAGCTACTTATTCTCTCATATACGTCTACTAGTAGAATACCGTTAAGCGTAAGAACACGAATACTCGAGGAATTGTTTTTTCAGATTTTCACTTAAATGCCATATGAAATATGTTTTTCTTTAATTTTCAATATTTTCTTTTTTAATTTTATTTTAGACGTGTACGATTATTCACGCTTAAAATTTACAAGCTAGTGGAGCCCGTCAAAATTGAACAGAAACTTTTCTTCATTTAAGCTTTTAGTATTTTACGACGTCGTAACTCAGCTGCAGGGTGTTCAAGTTCATTTTAGAATGAGCATTAATTGATATACACATATGATGAATTGTTAGTTAAGATATAATTCACATACAGGCGATGCCTTCTGTGGTTTTTTCATATTTATATGCCCATTCTTAAACAATTTTGTATTTTGGCGAATAAATATTAATAATAATATTATCAGTTTTTATTCCAGCGACGCTATCAAAATTTAAGGAGGTATTCCAAAGTTCAACTATGCACGCCACCAAGGTGTCGATAAAAACAAGTTTGTTCACCACTTCCTGAATTTTCATCATTTGGGGCTGTCTAGCTCTTGAACCAGAAGGTTATTCACGATATAAACAAAGATATGCGACTGAGATGAAAAGAAACATCGAGGACCTACACGCTCTGTAAATGCAAGTCCTAGCTTTGAGGACATGCTGTAGAATAAGACGTCTTCGACCCGTGGCCACTTCTCGTTCAGTACCGTTACTCCTGTAGCTCGCGGTAGAACCGCGGCGTGATTTCGCCAGCGGAACCACCTGGCGCTGCATATCAGAGGTGGTACCGCGCACAATTCAAGCGATTAGACGTCACGGCGACATGTCGCGGGTCAGTGTAGTCATGAATCTTTTTTACTTTGGTCATGACTTTTGATGCGTTGCCGTTTCTGATCCTGTGTCTGTGCATCTCGTGGTGCTCAGGGCAGCCAGCCGACTTAATCGAAGGTAGTGTACTGACACCTCTTACGAGTTACATCTTTCTTATGTTTTTTCGTACTAACTTCCGGACGCATTATGAAAAATTTCTTTTGGAAGTGGATTTTGATTTTTGGTGATGTTTTTTGGTTTATTAAAATGCGTGTTTTCCAAATCCTGTCTCATTTTATGAATGAATGTGTCTGAAGCGAAATAGATGAAGGATATTTTTTAAATAGATAATGCCTAGGACAACTTTGGTTACTCGCTAATTTAGTACTTACTCGCCAGTTTGCATCTGGAAACTTTTTTATAATGATAATCAGAAGCTAAAGTATTGTTGGAGATAAAAAATTACTTGAAAGTTGCACATTTTCTTTAACATCTTACTTACTAATGTGAACTTTTGATATGTCGTTTTATCATCGATACATCAAATAAATGAGAATTAAATACTTTTTTTTTTAAATTAATAAACTAAATAATTTTGCATTTCTAAGATTCTATAAGTTGGTTTTCGTACAAATTCTTTGTCAAAAGACAAAAGTTTGCCATTGTTCTACAGCAATGGTAAGTGAAAATGCTTCCAAAGTACGTTCCTCAAGGCAGTTTGCATTTCAAAAAGTTGTGACAATAAGTCAGTTTCGCTCATTTCCAACCGTAGCACGGGATTCGGTTCAAATAGACCAGGGGCGAAATTGTTTTTTTTTATTATTTGGATCATTATTTCTAGTTGAAAACGGTTACTTGCAATGATCACAAACTCGATTAAAAGATATTATATTTGGGGTTACCAAGTGTCTAGATTGAAGTTCTAATATTCTACTACAGGAATGCATTGCTATTTGGATGTTTCTGATCCTATGTCTGTGTATTTCGTCGAAAAGAGAATGCTTAGGAAAATTTTGACCGTTTATTAATTTGGCACTTACTCGTGAGAGCAGATATTTTCAGCTGGAATTTTAATTTATAATGATCCTGAAGAGATACCGGATCGTTAGTGACCAAAATTAGCTTCCACATTTTCTTCAAAACGAAACAAACCGAAAATACTAATATGAACTTTTAGTATGCCATTTAACACGGTATAGTAAGCCTGAACGAGAATTAGTATTTTTTAGATTAATAATGAATGATGAATTTATTTATGTTGCATGGCTAAATTTCTGCAAATTGGTTTCCGAACCGATTCTTTGTTTAGTCAAAATTTTGCCATTGTCTTATAGTAATCGCATATAAAAAGCCTCCAAAGTATATTCTTCAAGATATTTTGCATTAAAAAAATCTGTGACAATTTGAATCAATTCCGGTCATTTCCCAACATGCCGAAGGATTCGGTTCAAATAGACCAGGCGTAATGGGTTTTTTCGCTCTGAAAAAGTTAGTTTTTTTGATTACTTGTATTATTTTCTCTAGCTACTGAAGTCCGGAGAGCCCTGAAAATGGTCACTTTCAATGATCAAAAACTCGATTAATTTTTTTTTTGAGGTTGCCAAGTATCTAGATTTAATCTCAAACGTACCACTACAAGAACGTATTTTGGGCTTGGACTTTTTTTGAAAGCATTATTATTAAACTGTTTCTGATCATATGTCTGTGCATTTCTTGTGCTTAGGGCAACCAGCTGACTTAGCCACTTACAAGTTACATCCTTATTTTGCTTTTATCACATTACTGTCCGGGCTAGGTTACTAGATAAATGCCAGCAAAGTGTAAGAATCGAAGCCTGAGGAAATTGAACTAAATAAGTAGTACCATTACGACACAACAAAATTGAATGGATATTGCAAAGTTACATTACTTTATAGAGAGTGATTTAAATGAGATTTGGGATCGTAATTATTGAAAAAATCTACTGCCTTTATTCGTTTTCATAATTTATTTATATTATTCCTCCAAACGAAAAGCGCATTCATGTAGAATTTGGACTTGAAGAATGTGTATATTCCTACAAGCCCTACATTTCATTGCAGATTTGGATAGGTAGGAAACGAAGCAATTTGATAAAACATACCATAGGGCTTTATGTTCAAATTGCTGAGATATTTGACAATCTATCGAAAAAAACAACAACTCAGCTTTGACAACTCGCACCAAAAGTTATAACTAGACTACTGAATTTTTCGTTAAAACATTATATAATCCAATATTTTGTCCATATCCTCATACTTCTTCAGTTTTTTGGATAGTTTATAGAAGAATCCAAAATTGTTTTTCAAAATTTTCAAATGGAACACCCTGTATATCAACACACTATTTAATTTCCCTTTTAACGAGCTTTTTTAATATAAGGCTTAGGGGTATGGGTGTTTGTATGACTGCTTTTTGAGTTGCTAAAAACATCGGGACACCTTTTGACTTTTCGACCCTATTGCATAAGGCTAGGTACATTTAATTCATAATCAAAATACGTCAATTAATGTCAACTTAATGTTATTTTGTTGTTTATCTTTTAGTTTGAAAATTATTGTAATATTGTTAATACGTCTCGATATCTGCTTCGTTTGAAAGGTGTATCCAAATTTGAAATAAACTGTATGTTCCTTTTGAAAGAATGCACGTTCGAGTCACCACATGCATAACTATAAATCATCCTGTAAAGACGAAAAAATTCTGCAAGTAAGAAGGATAGTGTTGGCTACGATATTTGTGATTGCCTTTTTTAGAAACTATTCGTAATAACGGCGTTATCGACCGATCTTGCACTGAAAACTCACCCTGTATTTCGCATCCTTTGTAAAATTTTGCCTAAGGTTTCCCAAGATTACATATGATATTACTATTTACATATCAAGTTGCTTATAATAATCTAAGGACTTTTTCACATTTTGCTTTATATAAGTGGCATTATAACCGTCATATGCCGCAGAAATACTTTTCCGGCATTAGATACCTAGTTTTCAGTTATGTAAGTTTGAATTCTTATTAACACTGCTCGTTATAAGCACATGTAATATTAATTCAGATGTAAGTGCAGTCCCAAGTTAAAAGGATTATTAACATTTTTGGTAATCGTGTAAGGAGTCAACAGCAATTTTAAGAATGTAGAAATCAAGTACAAACAGCCAAGGTGCTTGGCATTGCTCGAACAAATATGTCAGGATTCTTCTATTATAATATTTGCACTGATGAGTTATATACATATTATGCTTTGATGTACAAACACTTTATTCATATTTCATTAATTTGGCTGTCAAGGCAGCAACTGGAAGAACCCTAAAGTTGCATTATTCGATGATTTGCCTGGGATTTCCTTTTTGTAAATCAGCATTGATCTAAGATTCAGAATCAGGAATTATCAGTTCCTTTTTGAGGTGGTGTAGTTTCTAGAGTTTCTTTTCAAGATGTTACTGTCGCGAAAATCGGAGGTAAAATTTCCTTTCAAACCATCGACTAAAAACCAAACAGGATCCCCCTAATTACATGCAATACGTAAACCGCCTCGACTTCCATGCCGAGCATTTTGAATACAACCTAAGCTGAGGTCCAATCAGCTTTCTTCTTAAGTGTTTCAAAAATTGTTTACCTTCAAATTCTGCAGGATTTTCAATTACCGAGGAATTCAACAATATGACGGTGAATTTTCTTGAAATACTGAGATTACGTTTTAATACCCCACAAGTTTCATATAATGTTTTAACAAATATCATTCAAAAAATATAGAGCAATCAGAAGAAAAGCATCATCTAAAATAATTTTGGAACTGAACCTTCTTTCTATTTATGTAAATCTTGGCTATTTCAGTGACTTTTTCTTGGGCGAATTTCTTATGGACTGTTATGTGCGTATTATTGTCACACCACTGAAAGGATCTGGACCTATAAGACGATTGCGACGAACTTAATGACTCTATGACTGTCTGGCTGTCTGAGCAGATGGCGATCAACTGGTTTGACATTGCTTCATAAATCCCAGCCTCAGCTTCGTCTTCAATTCTCGAGCCGTCTGTGTAACATATATCTTTTCTCCATTGCTTTCCTTCCTGGTACTATTGTTTGATAGTTTTTAACGACATTGAACACTTGGACAGTTGTGTCCGTGGGTCCTACAAATATAGGATCTGCCTTCAGCTGCATGTTGATGGCCTTTTCTGTGCTGCCGACTGATCGGTCATTGGCCTATTTCATAGGTAATACACATGTATATAATGAAAAGTCGGTAGAGTCATAGAGAAAGTTGTACGACATCGCATAATTGGATATTGTTATCAAAAATAGGAAAGAAACATTGCCTCATCTTCGAAACTTCATTCGTGATAATAATAAAACATCTACCATTTTTCCTGATTGTGATTAATTTTTTATAGTGAATTTGATGCCTGAATATTAAAAATGATCAACTTGGTCAACCATTAATCCTTCTGTAGCACTTTACAACTAATAATAATCATCAAGAAAAAAATTAAAGGCAAGGGAAGGAAAAGGAGAAGAGGGAGGGAAGAGGGAAAATGAGCATAAAGTTGTGTCATCTCATCTGAGCGCAAACGACCTGACAATACCACCTGAAAGTAGGCAACCCTCACTTATTGTCCCCCTCCCCCAAGACGTGATACTATACTATAATTAGGAAATTCACGTATGGTTTTGCCTTAGACACCAAACACTGCATAATCACTACTTCAATCATGGTACGTCATTGTAATTGTCTAGCAGCTGAAAAACGTCTGCGTTGGGGTGGTGATGTAGCCTTTCTTCGTGTTTGGCTGCTACTTTCTTTATCTCACCAATAACTAGAGGGATATTCATTTCGAGATGAATGTCCCTACTAGGAATATACCAAGAGGCGTTTAACATGTTTCTCAGAACTTTATTTTTGAATATTTGAATAATTTCTATGTTTGAACTCTTGAGCCCATGACTCACAGCCGCAGATCCACACCGGAATCTTCCCAATACCAAATAATACCGCTTGCATTGTATGTATTTTTGATATGGTGTAAGAATTCTTCAGTATAAAAAGTCAAATTGTCGTTTTGCTTATAGAATAGTGAATCACTAATGCTTGTCTAGTAAGTTTCAATGAGGTTTTATCTCCTACGTATCTGTTCTTAATCTACATGTTGATGTTAAAACTGTTACACCCAGTTTTTTATGCTACACTCGTATGATACAAGGTCCATTTCCAATATATTTTATATGGTTTCAGGCAATCAACGTAGATTTACCAATCAATTAATCTGATTAAATTAATTGTTAAGCAAGCAATACCCATACTAGGTTATAAAAATAACATGTTTCAAGTGCATTTGCTGTCATTGCAATTATTTAAATATTGTTAGATGATAATTATGACAATTAGATAATTATCAGTGCAGCTGAACGCATGCATGACCGGATATACTAATTCATTTTTCCGCTGGTTCTAGAATGACTGAAAAAAATGATCTGGTTAACTGAAAGTATGACATCCGACTGCTTGAATCTGAAGGTATCTGTTTTTTTGATAAAACTCAATTCTTATGAACGTAAAGTGAAACTAGTAGTAGATATGCAGGGGTATTATGTAGCGTGAAGTGTGACATTATGTCGTTTTTTTGACATTATAAAGGTTTTTTTGTGACGTTATGTAGGTTTTCCTACAAGATGTCAACTAGGAACTAGCAATAACCTATAAAGTGAGTTCTTAGTGAGTGCTCGATTGATCACTATGTTATTGCGCATAGTATCTACAAAAAGTCAAATACAAAAATTTTAGCCAACGGTATGCTCCCTATTTCGAAAATAGTTTTACCCTTACATGCATTTTTTTAATGGAAAGCATTACATTTTACTGGAGACTTGGATACACTTTTCCAGAGAAGCAATTTGATATAACATACTATATTTCCAAATTTGTTGAACCATTTGACAACATATCGAATAAAACACTGAACCTTGACAGCTCACACCTCTGCAACTGTTATACCTAGAATACCGTATTTTCCGTTAAAAAGAATTTATGATGCCATATTTTGCTCCTATCCACTTACTTTTCCAGTTTTTTTATACATATATTTTATACAAGGAGGCGATTTCAAGTACCTCTCATAATTTTTCAAATGGAACACCCTATTTTATGCGTTGCATGTGATTCTTGCAGATAATTTTCTTAATGGACCAATTGTTCATAACAGTTTCTCGTAATTTCTTTCTTACAGTTGAAGCACTAGTAAAGAAATGGGCGCCCTTGGTATGGCTGTCACCAGACGAACAATACATGCCTATGAGCGTCGGAGAATACCTCAAAAACGTCAATGTTGTGGATAGCAAAGGAAACCAGGTGCAAATTCCATGGAACCAGGATCTACCCAAGATTAACACGAAACAGCTGTATCTAATCCCAAAAAGTACAGTATTCTTTATTGTATGGAAACCTGTACTTACATACCTAGTATCTAAAGTTGACATTTTCCAGAGTTTTCAGATGTAATGAAATTCAAATTTTACAATTCAAGAAAGTGATGAGTATTTGTGATGTAGTAAAAACACCTACTAGCGAATATGTCAATCATTATGGAATAGTTTCTATACTTTAAACAAATAGAGTTTTTAGGTATGAATAATATTAAAATATAGTAATTTTTTTTAAACAAATCTTTATCCAATGGTCAATTTTTACAAATTTTATAGAAGAAAGTTCTCTAATCTGTATTTAGAACACTGGACTCGAGAGCAACAATAATTAAAGTGCGAATCCTAGCTACAATAAATTCAACTGTTTTTACATAATTTCTGATACATGCACATCTTTTACAATATATGGCAGATAATATATTTTTACTGCATCAACGACAGGGCTATTCAATCCGATATTATTTGTAGTAGGAATCTGGTACAAATTATTATGTGGTCTTATTTCATAGTCAGACACATCATGTGAGATCAGAATATATGTATTACAGTTTTGTTGGTTATTTAAAATTTTCAAAATCGTTTTACATTGTTCTAATTCCAACAGCTCAATCTAGTTCAAAAATATTCAATTCTGCGTACATATCCGTGTTGGCGAGTCGGTCGTAGTTAAACAAAACTCTTATTATTCTCTTGTGCTTTATGAAAATCAGTTTTATCACACATTCCCCAGGTAGGTAACATATATCTAAACTGTGTCAAGAAAAATGTAGTTAAGTAGACTCTGTTTTATCAAGAAAAAAAAATAAATGTGACTAGACCAATTCAAATTCTCATCGATAATTAAACACAAGAATTTGATGGTTGACACTTTTTCTACTTTAATATTATTTGCCAATAGAACGAAATATAAATTATTTTTATTGTTTGAAATTTTATCATAGGTATATAGTATACTTAATCGAACATACCCAGTGTAGTTTTCATGCCATTGGAGACTTTTGAATAGACTTCACCTATTTCTTTTTGAAATTTCGAAATTTGGGAACCTTAATTTATGTCCTATCGATGTTGGCATGTATGGGCGAAATTGCACTATATCGAAAATTATGTCAGAAGTCATAAGGGAGGCGTGAAAATCACAGTCAATTTGCTTGACGTCATTTTGTGGCCCTCTTCGAAAATCAACAAACGTCAACTCCGAAAACACCAGTTGCTAGGAATGCTGTCAGATTTTTCTGCCTTGAAATTGCTTATTGATTGAACAAGACTCCATATAACGCCGCGCTACGTTTCTCCAGGAACAGACGATAAAAATAAATTTTGAAGTGGGAATTTTATCCGCACATATCTGCTTGAGTTCGGTGGCTTTTCCGAAATATAAAGGGCAATTATGGTTAAATTATTATGACCTCACTTTATTACCTCCCACCGCGTAAAGCGCCAAGGAACAATCCACTTCCTGACATTCTTGCATTTGGTACAAGGTATAAAGAAAACCAATAGGAGTGTCGCTTAGTCATCAAACAATTTTCTCCCTACCTTCGTCCAGGCGAACATATTACGGAGCTATAGGAGGTTAGGCTGGTAGAGGATCCATTATTAATAAATGTACTGTCATCTTGATGTTTATGTCTCAAAAGAATTTGACAAGGTATGGCAGACGGTCCTCCTGTATGAACTAATCCAAAAGGGCTTACATTTTTGGATTCTGAAAATACTAAAATCCTTTCTTGAAGGAAAAAAATTTCGGCTCAAACTCGACAATGTTCTGTCGACGGCACCGCCCCTTACAACCGGTGTCCCTCAGGGTTCAGTCTTTGGACCATTTCTTTACTCAATGTACATCCATGACCTCCATAGACCTAACAACTTTGAAGTCTATCTCTATGCTGACAATATTATACCTACCTAGTTCACGACAGCCTGAAAAGTGCGGTGGAGTATGTATTAAAGTAGGCGGATCGGTGGCTGATTCAAATCAACTAAAAAACGCAGACAATCTACTCGTATCGTACGAAAAGACGTCGCGGTGCCCTGTATGAGGTTTCAATGAATGGAGTTCGAATACCCTGGGAAAGCTTCGCTAAGTATCTCGGTGCCATTCTGCACAAAGGGATGACTTTCAATTATATTGAAGCGTTTAAAACTAAATTCCAAATTACATTTCGACAGCTTTACCCATTATTGCGTTATACTAACAAGATTCGGATCTATAAGGTGGATCAAAAGACCAGCGATGACTTACGCTTATGCGGCTTGATGTTTTATTGCAAAAACACACATAAAAATCTGCATGTTCTGCAAAACAGCACTATTACTGACGCCCCATGGTGTGTCTCTACCGAAACCCTTCAAGAGACCTCTAAGTCCCTTACCTGAGAAACTATATTAAGCAAATGTTCTCAGACCATATTAAAATCTGTCAAGTGATTTTAACAATGCCTTAACGCTCCCAGTCTTAAAAAATTTCCTTGTTCTTCTTTGTCCTCTTTCTCCCTTCTGCCTTTTCTTTCCTTTTTAACCTGAATGTTGTCTGGTCTTACAAACTGATACTATGACACGGACCGCTATGACTACCACCTACCAGCTACCAGCTGTCAGAACTCGACGGCCAAGTGATTAGACAGACTATCACAATGAGTTGAGCTAGCTAAGGCTGATACTATGAATGCATCCATAAAAGTCCTGAGATGAGATAATTATTGCAACCGTAATCTGGGGGGTAAATAATAAGAAGCATGCGATTATCACCTAGCCATACGACTGAGTCCTAAATATTGCTTGATAATTTACAGCTTGGCGAATTGCGTAAACACTTGACGCATTGCTTTTATAAGCTGGGTTTTTGATGATATGGCTGCAAGTGCCCCGAGAATGTGAACAAGGATCTCAATTTATTGTGGGCTTGTAGGAGTGAGGTCGGGGCTTAAACCCAAGATTCAGGCGGATAACGGAGAAGGGGATTGCTAGACAACTCTCTTTGAAAGCATCTCTAGACATCCCAGGCACGGGAGCTTATCCTTGAGCCCAGTGCCAAGGATGGAAGCTTTTGCAAATCCCTGGATAGATCCAATCTAAAGTTGTTGGTGGGACTGCTGTCCGAACAGTAGCTGTTCCGCGAGTGACCCAACTATTTGTGCTTTGTAAACTTTGGTACAACTCATTTCCCCTGTATTCGTTACATGGCAAAGCAAGTTACGAGCCTGTGAAAAGTATGTTTCCACGTGATCTTTGATAAAGTACGTTATACGTTTTTGGTGTTGTTTCGTGTCGCGGTAACAATTATGGAGCAGTGTTTGCCTGTTCCGACTATATTATTCAAGTGTACGGAATTCGTAAGGTCAGGAAATGTTATTATGAGGAGCTTCGAAAGTGAAATACGGTAAATAATTTGTGTGTGCTAGCAGCAAAAATATTCAGCTCAGCCGTTACTCAGAATGATGGTCAATGGGACATCCACGGTGGCGGTTCAGAAAATGGTACTAGTAAGCTGTCTTGCTCTCCAGTGGTATTGATCTCACAACTGAACCAGTATACAATTCGATAAAAACTATCAAACAATAGTGCTAGAATGGAAGGCGTGAGAGACCTCTTATACATGACAAAAGCTACTGATACACAGACGGCTCGAAAACTGAAGACAGAGTTGGAGCTGGGATTTAAGGCCAACAACTGAGATATCTATAAGTCTAGCTAATATTGCAACAATATTTCAGGCTGAAGTAGACAAAAGAGCTAGGCAGCCATAAAGGCATTAAGTTCATCGCAAATATCGTCTAAACTAGTCTGGGATTTAGTGAAAACTCTCAAAGAGCTGGGAAACCGAAACAATTAAGCATTGCTACCCGGACATGAAGGGCACAGAGGCAATGAAAAAGCGGAAGAGCTAGTCCGACAGGGTGCGGCCAATCGCCTTATAGGTCCAGAGCCTTTTTGAGACGTGACGAGGACATGCACTAAACAGTCCATAAGAAATTGGACCAAGATAAAGTCATAAAGTCCCTAGAATGGTGGAACAAACAATTGGGGCAAAGGCAGGCAAATGTATGAAGGCCCTAAGTTACAGAGGACCCACTCGGATTCAATAGGGAGGTCATAAGGACCATAGTGGGTCTCCCGACAGGACACCAAATCGTCTATGCCGTTTCTACACAGAGCATGATGAAGCAATACTATTGGGCGATACCAACATCGACCTCACCGATGAGCATGCTGGTCAAAGCAAACAATTTTTGCAAATGATGTCTCTATTCAACATGAACCGCGTAATTAATGAACCAACAAGAATAACAGCAAATACAGCAACAATGATCGATATCATTTTTACAACAAATACACTCACTGTTTACGAGTGTGGAACTCTAGACATGCCAGAAGTCACTGATCACAGATTGTGCTTCTGTAAGTTGGAAATTGAAACTCCGGAATACACACCTGCAATATTTTACTACAGAGATTTCTCGCATTTCGATCACGTTGAGTTTGCCAACGATGCTGCTTCTGTGGAATGGAGCTACATAGATGGTTTACCAAGTCTTGATGACAAAGTTCTATACATTACCGAAACTATTATTATGCTCTACAATATACATGCCCCATTGAAAAGAATTACTTCACGTAAGAACTACAGACCTTATGTGACACATACAATCAAGTGTATAATAAATTTGAAGCGGAAAGCATACAACAAGTTCAGAAGAACCAGAAATAAAGAACATCGTGCATATTATAGTGATCTAAGAAATTATTTAGGAATAGCTTTGAAGAATGAAAAAACAGCTTACATAAAATTTCAGCTTAATAAGTATTATAATAATCCTAAACAGATGTGGAATAGTTTCTCCAGGTGGAATATACACACAAAATCCAGTAAACACATATCACAAGACCTTGAAAACGCTGAAAGCATCAATAATCACTTTATTAACTCTGTACCAAACCTGCAGCCAGATGACTTATTTCTTAACACATTCTCATATCAAAAAAATTCTATAGTATGCAAGTCTTCATTTAATCATGTTACATCAGACCAAGTTGAACTAAAACTAAAAGAAGTCAAGTCAAATGCTGCGGGTGTTGATGGTATCACTACAAACATGTTGAGAAACGTGTTCTCTTTTTGTAAATATCAGCTAACCAGTATCATCAACCAATCACTGAGTACAGGGGAAGTGCCATCATTATGGAAAAAAGCAGTCATAACACCACTTGCAAAAGTTAATAATGCCATCGATTTTAAGGACCTCAGACCAATAAGTGCTTTACCTTCAATGTCCAAACTGTTAGAGAAAATTATAGATGATAAACTTCGTGAGCATCTAGAAATCAACAAAGTGTTGCCTGACACCCAGTCTGGGTTTAGGAAATTACATAATACATCTACAGCGATCATTAAAATTTCCAGTGATATAGTGAAATTTATAGACGATGGCATGATAACGCTACTAGTAATGCTAGACTTCAGCAAGGCATTTGACATGGTAAATCACAGAGTTTTGTGTGAAAAACTGCACCATTATGGTTTGACCGGAAATGCCATGCTGTGGTTTAGTAATTACTTGTTTAATAGATCTCAATGTGTAAAATTGCGTGGTAAAGTGTCTACTTTACGAGCTTTGAAGTCTGGTGTTCCACAAGGCAGCGTTTTAGGTCCTATTTTATTTACTATTTATACCTCAGATCTGATAAAACATATATCATCTGACTGGAATGTACATTTGTATGCGGATGATGTACAAGTTTACAAACCATGTCAACCAACCGATGTAAATTCTTTAATATTAGAACTTAATAAAAATTTAGACATAATTGAACAGTACTCAAAAAATCATTGTTTGAAGCTCAATCCCTTGAAAACCAAAGTATGTTGTGTTGGTTCTAGACTAGCGATTCTGAAGTGTAAACAAGTAATAAATACGAACATATTTTTAGAAGGAATTAACATTGAATTTGTTGAAGAAACAAAAAATTTGGGAATAGTACTTGATAAGAATTTAAGTTTTGAAAGTCACATTATAAATAAGCTCAGAATATGTTATTATAAATACAAATCGCTATGGAGATATAAGTATATATTAACAAGTGATATCAAACTTGTTAATGCATTAATCCTCACACATTTAGATTATTGTAGTACTGTATATTACCCTTTTATTACTGAGGAAATGCAACAGAAAATTCAAGTTTTACAAAACCATTGTATGAGGTTTTGTTTCAATGAGATAAACAGACGCGAACACATTACTGGGTATTATGTAAGGAAAAATCTTTTAAAGTTCAAATATCGCTCGTTACTTCTCTATGCTGTTCTACTATTTAGGGTTTTAAAAGATAAATCTCCGAAATATCTTTTTGACACATTAGAGAAAAGATCTTCACTCCATCAACTGATCCTCCGTAATGAATATTGTTATAATATACCAGCCCACACTACCTCAAAATTTAAAAAATGTTTCTATTACATAGCTCCCAGTATACTAAATGATTACCCAAGTTTCTTTAAATTAACGTCCATTCACAGCTTCAAAAGAGAATTCAAAAGAATGCTATTACAGTTACAATTTAATGAATCCACAAGTGGCTGAATAAATCTCATTATTAATCTTATTATATTTTAAAGTTTTGTTAGCATTATTATAGTCAACCAAATATCCTTTATTTAATGTATAAGATATACCTTAGTATATATATATATAGATATTCAGGCGGGGGTGAAAAATGGCTATGCCAATCCCCAGCCCTTTGGAGTATTATTTTTTTTTTTGTGTTATATTATTTGCTCGTATTTTGATTCTATTATGTATTAATACTCCAATAAACATTATTATTATTATTATTATTATGTCAAGGCTATGGAGTCTGATTGAAGGTTATAGGCTCGACACAGTGCTCTAGAAAGTATATCTGGGGCCACAATAGATTCATTTGGGTCGCAGTGATGTTACGGCTCACACCCCAAGCCCTTTCTTCTGTAATCTGTAAACTTCTCTCCAGTCAGCCATACAAGAAGTACTGAGCTAACCCACTCGATCTCAGTTCAAACGGAAACTGTCGATGTCGCCTTTCCTGGTGATCACAGATGAGCAGGGTGCCTTACAGTGAGTTACAACCGCGTAAATCGGCCAGGAATGTTGATTTGGATTTCGACAGAAAATAAAGGATGTGGGTTGTTTGCCAGAAGGGGGTAATAAAACAAGGAAATGGCATCGATTTACGGCTGATATTGTAGGCTGACATGCTGACAGAAGAGAATTTCAGCATATATAGAGAAAACAAGAAGGTGCTAGTTGCAGATGTTTCCATGCTGTCAACACATTGGAGGAAGGGTTTTATTATGAATTTGAGAGCCCGTGGGCCATAAAAAAACCGAAATAAAACTAGTTAAAATAGAAAATGCAACACCTTACACATATAATATAAACATGGGAACTTTTCAAGACACTGCCCTAGGTTCCCTCATTTTTTAATATACAGGGTGGCCAAAATATATAAGTGACTGATTCAAATTGCGCGCCATTTTTGATACACGCATTTCAGTAGGTGGCGCCGTAGTACTTATTTAAAGCTCATGTGTCCAATTCATCATGGAGCACTACGCGATCCCACAACGCGTACGTATTGCTAAAACGTTTTACTTAAATAATGAGTCGATTGTTGCAACGATTCAGAAGCTACCGAGGATCCGACAAACATAACGGTGTTGCCAGATTTCGCCCATCATCACGCGCGTCTAACTTACAGAGTTGGGAACCTCATTTTATTCGTATTGAGACAGTTGATAGGCGCGGGCAAGTTTGCTTAAGATCGTAGGAATTTTCTGCTAGATATCTAAAAATTGGAAATAATGCGGTTCCTCAGAGAATTGATTGCGTGATATTTGCGAACTAAGGCTTTTAAGACCTGTCGCATATTACCAACTAGAAACTCGACAATTGATAGGGGGCAGCTCTTACAATCTAAGATTTGGTTTAATCTAATGTGTTAATTTGAAAATATTGATTAGTTTAAGTAACATCTAGTCATACATTTACAGGTGAACCGAACGGCACGAATTCCTTCATACTCGGTCGAAACCCAAGCCAATACCCCGTGTCCATTTATGCTGTCGTGACCTACTGCACGGGACCTCAATCATCCACGACCACCCGAGGGGTTGACACAAACACGGTTTACGACAATAAGGAAAACGGCTTGCATTTCCACGTCAGCTATTGGCTTTTCTATCCTTACAACGAAGGGAAGGAAGTATGTTTTCTTGGTAAGTCGATTCTCACACTGTTGGTTGCAATGTGGACTTTTTTAATTTTTTTAGTGAACGATGTTCCGATTTTGATTATACTGAAACTTTTTATATTATCAATAACGTCTCCGGTTTCATAAATAGGATATTTTAGGCTTGACAAAGACGACAAGACAAGACTGGAAGTTTCGTGATTTAGTTTTGTATAAAAAAGAACTGGCAGTTTGTAATTCAAATTCCCTGCAAACGCCGCCTTAAATGCCCACTGAGGCTTGGCAAAATGATAAGGGTCCAAGAGCACTAATTCTGGATTGCTTTACCGCTTAGGTCCGGTTAATTGGCCGTCCTTCCGAGAAATTTTAATTTACAAAAATGTTGATAACATTTCCAGCTTTGAGGTTACACTCTGTATCTTCAACAGGTCCGTCATGTATTCAATTTAGATTGCAAGATTTATACAAAAATGGACGACGATATCATGGCCTTCAAATTCAGCTTTTATTCGGTACTGACAGTGAGACACATAGAGACTTGAGCTATTCTAAGAAGATTAAAATAACGTATGACCTTACAATTGTTTTGTTTATATTTTTCTTAAAACTTTCTTTGACTATTTCATTGTAAACCATCGTGCAATTAAATTTTTTCCTCTACGTGCTTTGAAAACGGAAACATTCCAGTCAAAAATATCCAAACTGCGTCAAAAATGGTATTTTAGTGTCTGTTATTTTAAAAGTATTAAGCTCATCCGTGAAAAAGAATTACCCATAACAAGTTTCATTTAGAATCATTCATGATTATAGAATACTTTTGTTGTTAAAAAAAAGAAAGAGTCAAAAATGAATCTTCGCAAGCTCTGCGCCCAAGCGCCAAAATCGTTAATTGAGCTTTCAACTAAAAAAACGTTGCCGTCAGCCAGTTCTAGGTAAACTAAATTTTATCACTTCGCAGGACGGGTGCCGACTCTGAAAATATTTAACACGTGCTTTGGCCAGAAGAAATCGATTGGAAATCACTTAGGCGATTGGGAGCACATGAGCTTGGAATTTGATGGCAAGCCGTATCCTGATAAGCTGTTCCTAGCTGTACACAATTCTGGGGCCTACTACACTTGGGACGAGAAACAAAAGTAAGTAATAAAGGAAATTCCTCGCGTAAAGCAGATCCCTGGACGCATCGGCTGTGCATTCTCTGAATCCAGTATTTTCAAGTGCAAATAGCAGCTTGGGTATCTACCTCGCCGACTTACGATGACGTGTTTCGATAATGGAATCAGTTTTTTAGCAGTACTGTAGTTTTGATTACGATTTCTAGATATTTGTAATTAGGTACTATATTAGGTTTGTTATTGTTGTTGTTTACGTAGAGTTTGGACTCGACACGAGTCTGTTGTCAAAAATGGTGCTTGCCATTTGAATTCTCAAAATTGACCTCCAAATGACCTGTGTTGTTGTCTAGGTCATATTTAAGGTCATAGATAAATTGCTTGTTTGATAGACTGAAACTTTTTCTTGAATCTTTTGCATAAAGGATGCATGGTTACCAAGTTCTTGGGTGTTCGTTTACTTTTCTCACATTACAGTAGGTCATGCTGATTGAATCACTGATGACCGCTTGACCTAGTGTATGAAAATGGATTCTGATGTAAAATTTCGAGCTCGACACGAATATGTTGTCAAAAACAGCGGTTGCCATTTGGATTTACAAAGCTTACCTCCAAATGACCTCTGAGGTCATTGTCTAGAGTCTAGACGTCTAGACCATATTTGGGATTATCGAAAAATTGCTTTTTTGATACCCAGAAATATTCACCATAACTATTTTTCCAGAAGATGCGAAGAGGAAATAGGGAAAACGTAGTGCGTGGATAGCCAGCAGAATTTTTGTGCAAAAGTTGATAGAATAGAAACTTTCTCGTTTTGTTCTGTGGATCTTCTTACCTACAGTCTGTTTTTTATAATAATCCTTAGTAGTTCGACACATAAATCAGAAAACATTATTAGGATTATAACGAACTTTAGAGATAAGACTAATACTATTTCATGGATGGAGAGGTTAATATCCTATTAAATAATTTCCATAGTGGCAAATAATAAGATTAAATAAATCAGATGTTAAACTGACGACTGTTGATAAAGGAAGCTAACCTTGTAAATTGTGTAATTGAAAAGGTAAAATGGTTCAAAACATTCAGTAAATATATTTTTAATAAGATCAAATTGTGTATAATAGTGTTTGCCGTTCTTCTAAAGAGTATCGTGTATAACAGGATAAATTGAAAGGTACAATCATTGTAGACAATGGTGTAGTTGGATTATTATATTATTTTTATTGTGGGCGAAGCTTAGCTTGAAGCTGTTCTGCTACTTAAACCTTATAAAGATTAAATTATTATCAAGAATGAATTATAATAAAGAATTGTAAGAAAGATTCAACGGGGAACTATCAAGATCTTTATGCAAATATTGCCTCAGTGGAATCGTATAAAAATACAAGACTTATTACTTTTCCACTTTTCGAGACTATTCAGAAAAAATGCAAGAAAAAAGATTAGATTATATTGACGAACTGCTTACATGACATCGAAATATTTTTACCCTTTCAATTCACGTATTTTGGCGTTATTTTTCTAAACGATCATAATAGTATGATCCTTGTTTTTCTTAAAAATGATTGTAGACATTACTGCCCATAGTATTGCAGACAAAGATACATTATTACATGAGATGTACAGCTTTTTTTCAAGTTGGGTAAGGTATTATTCATTTTTTGGGAGTAAGTAAAAGTAGTTCCGCTTCGCTCCGGTTTCTGTATAGGAATATTCAATTGTGTTATAATTTCTAAAGCTGCACACCCACTGAGATGAAGAGAAGGGAAGGAATCAGCCGCTGCACACGTCAAATTTGACATGGCATTTGACATAAAACATTTTTACGGTAACTGGCAAAACGTTTAAATCTGACAAATGTCAGTATGCTGTCTTGCCGATACTGAGCTCGTCATGACAAGGGTAGTAGTACAGATCTGACATCTGCTGGCATTTTACAAAACCTAACATATTTTTTCCCGGTTGCCAGTTGCATTATGAAAATGTTTGCTTAAATCTCACAAAAAATTCAAATCGTGTCATATGGCTAATATTACATATTTTTTTCACAGATATTTTCGGCATGAAAAGGATGCTGAAAAACCCATTATACCTCTACCGAAAGTCCCGCCTATTCTCAAGACTCAAGGAGGCCACCCTGTGATATTTTCAGCAACCGGATCTCACGGACTATGGGCATCACCTGGAGAGCATGCCTATTTCAGGGTACCTAAACTGACAGATCAGAATGGGTATGTGTTTATCAGAAAAAATGGACTCGAATAGATCAAGTCGGTCAAATGGCCCCATTTGATTGATTACCAGCCTCACCTGTTTGTCAGACAACGCTATAGGTTTAAAGCTTAGTTTCGTGCTAAACGCGGCTATCAAATCCATTTCGAACTCTTAAGGGCAAACATACGGAGAAATCTATGTTTGAAATATGACTAATTGATTATCAGGTCCCACCCTCAAACTTCCGGTCGATTTTCAAAACGTACAAAGTTTTTCGCTCTTGGTATCGTTGTTTTAAAACGTCGTCATATAACAGCTATTCCATATCACTTGTGACCTTAGTGACCAAGTGATGCCATCAGAATGTTCAAAAAAAAAAACGTAACGCTGTTATCGGTTCATATGTTCAGCACAAACTTGACCCACTGAGAAAAAAGTCAGCCAAACGGGTCCATGCAATTTGTCCATAGATGCTCTTTCCGATCCGCCTGCTGAGAATATACGAGTTTTAAGGACAAATGTATGGAGAAATCTATGATCTGTGAAGTATGTCCAGTAGAGGTATGTAGAATTATCGAGGTTGAGAGCGTATAAATATACCACAATCAAACAAATCTTTTTACCTCTAAAGTTTGTTTAAAAAATGATCAGGATCATCTGAAACGTTAATTAAAACAAAGCTGGGGTGCTTTTATTAGTTTTTCGTGTTTGGCCGTTTAGAGGGGCCAATATAGAATTAGCGGACATACAAACAGACCGACAGACAGACCGAAATGAATGACACGGTTTATGTACATATCAAACAACATCGAAAAAACATAATACCTCACTTTCGCTATTATAGTTTTCCTCGCCAGCAGGTGTGGGAAGTGAAAACCGAGCTCATAGATGTGGTCAGAAGTTTCCAAATAAAAAACGCAGTATTTCAACCATCGAATTATGACGTCAATATCAGACCGGATCGTAATTTCCTTACAAACTAAGGGCTTGTTATTAGGGAGAAACGGGGAACAGCTGAAATTGAAATAATTGTATTTATAACCCCCACGATCCCTACTTAGCCAATGTTAAAGGAAAAAGAATTAATCCTAATAGAGGTCCACGTTCAATTTTGTATTCATGGGCGTAACTTGGATATAGGTCCCGACAGAGACTGCATTATGTAAGGGAAGTTATAGACGCACTTGTGGGTATCTTAGCAGACTTTTCTCTCTCGGAAACTTTATAAAAAAAAACAAAGTCGACACATTTTGGCCTACAGAACCCAAATACATTGTGAAAAAATACACAAAGGCTGGAAGTACCTAAGACTATGATTCTCTTACATAGAAAAAATTAAATCTCCGAAAATAACCTGCTTAATAAAGACTGGCATTGTTTTTGAATCATTCTGTATTACGCTTACCCGCCGTTATAGTGTATTTTGTTTCCAGATACGGATATCCTTGGAAAACATGGAACAACATCGAGATTTACCACCTAGGACAAGGTTCCCTTCCGTTGTGGATGGCCTTCAAAGGAAAATGGGGGAATCCAAAAAGCAATTGCATGTTGTGGCAGAAATTAGACCTGTGCGAATACACGGAGGGGCCGGCTGGGATTATAAGGACAAACAAAGATTTCTACTGCTATTCTTGATTATTTGTCCAGCTCACTGTTATATTCTGATTTTGAATAAAGATCTTGTTTTACGTGATTTTGTTTTAGTTCAGGAAATAATAACACGCTGGGGTTTGAATGAACAGTCAATTGATTCTATGGATTAAGATGTGTCCTTTTCCAAGGAAACGCGATCCAGTGGGGCAGGAATTTATTTGGAAGACATGCAGGAAAGATTTGCGCCTGGAACCTGCACCACCACCTTCCAGGCAGAGATATTTGCCACCTTACCAGTGGCATACTCAGAGGAAATTAAGCAGTGGACCGTGCGACAGTGATCCTTAGTTCAGGAATGCACTACTGCAGCTCAGAATGTAGTTCAATCTAAAGAAGTGACCTGCTTGAGTCCAGAGTTCCGGGCAACGAGAAAGCTGATAGCCTGGCTAGGCTGGGGGCCAGTAGCACCGGTATCAAGCCTGGCTGGGTATAAGCAGGAGCCAGGTCAAGACGACACTGAATGAGGTGTTTAGGGACCTGGAAAGAGCGTGACGAGAGAGAGATGACTGTAGACAGAAGAAAGAAAGTCGTATCGGGCCCAGACAGACATCGGACGCGCTGGCTGCTGGACAATCGTAGAATATCAGTGATTCTGGTTGAGTGAACCTTTTTGTGGTTTGCAGACTGAACAGTCACTTATCCCTCTTCAAGGAGGAAATAGACCCAACATGCCCCAAGTGCTGGGAGGAGGACGAAACAGCCTTACACTATCTGGGCTATTACCTCGTATGTTGCTGCCTATCGACTGAGATATTCGGGACCACGGAAATTTGTCGGTGCAGTTGCTTATTCAGCAGAATGGTCGGACATTCTGAGCTTCATTAGGACGTCAGGACGGTTTGACAGTTTAGTGAATCAGCATGTAAAGTAGAGTGTTGGTACATTCGGGGTCGGAAAACAGGGCCAAAGGTGGCCTACTTGTCCGGCTTCGCTTACCCATCACTACTAGTACTACTACACAATACTGTAGAAAACAAAAAACTCCACAGTATCTTAAAACCAATGTATATAATAAATGTGTACTCCATGATTCCCAAACGTATACCCCTACAAAGGCAACATGGATAAAATCATAAACAGTGCAGAAATGAAATTTCGGTAAATAACTTATCATAACTTTTTTGTGCTACCCTGCATACAAAAACTGACGAAAGAATCTTATTTTCTCGCATTTCCACAACAAAAAATTTTTATTGTTCGAGGTGTCTAAAGTCAATAGTTTTCGAGGTACTTGTTTTTAAAAGTTCCAATGCATTATTTGTACCATGATGATAAAACATTTTTATAACATAATAATCAAGTTGCATTGGATAATATCTGAGTATCGTTGCTATGCTTTCTAACGTTTGTCATAATATTGCTTCAAGCTTCATGAATAATTCTAAGTTGACAATAAGTTGTTAAACATCATGGAGTATACGTTTAATGAGTATTCTGATACGTATTTAATGTACGCATTGGTTAGACGTAATGCTTTAAAAGCACGAAGATTGTACGCCAAGAGATTCCCTAATAGGCACCTGCCTACTTCAAAGACTTTCCAACCAATCGATCAGGGGTTACGAGAAACTGGTAAGAAATGATACTAGCCTTATTTTGAGTAGTATAAACCATTTGCACTGTAGGTAGTTTTACTCAAAATATGGGCCGACATAGTGGAGCTCCCAGAACTGTAAGTACAGCTTAAGTTGAAGAAAATGTTTTAGATGCTGTCTTTGAAAATCCTACAGTTGGGGTCAGGAATGTAGCTCGAGAATTTCAAGTTTTCAAATGTACAGTAAATACCATTTTTCAATTGCTCCATCCATACCACCTACAAAAAGTACAGGATTTAAGCGCGGATGATGAACCCGCAAGGGTACAATTTTGCACTTGGCTCTTAAAGAAGTTTAACTACGACAATGGTTTTACTTCGTTAATATTATTTTCGGACAAAGAAGAAAGGGATGAGCCCATTAACTCGCATAACCTTCATATTATGCAGACGAAAATCCTCATGCAATAATACAAACCCGCTACCAAGTACAATTTTAAATAATTCATTTATGGGCAGGAATAATTGGACAATATTTAATAGGACCCGTTGAGTTATCACCTAGACTAAATGGCCAAAAGTATTTACAATTTCTTGAAGAACAATTACCCACTCTGCTGGAAGATCTTCCATTACAAGCACTCATGAATATGTGGTTTATGCACGACGACGCTCCACCTCATTTTATTATATTAGTTAGAGAGCACGTAAATGGAGTTTATCCAGACCAGGGATAGGCCGATCAGGACCTGCATCGTGGCCGACTAGATCACCAGATTTAAATCCTATGGATTTCTTTTGAGGTGATTTAAGACGACGCGCCTACAATACGCCAGTGGAAACTGTAGATGATCTTCGACAAAGAATTTTCCACCATAGCCAGGAAATGAAATATAACATCCAAATGCTTTGGAGAATGCAACAAGGATTAGTTCGTCGAGCTCGAGAGTGTTTTAGGCAAGGTCGTGCTCATTTTGAACAATTTTTTTAGCTATTATTTCCGTTTATTAAAAAGCTAAATCAACTTGATGATTATGTTATAAAAATGTTTTACCATCATGGTGCAAATAATGCATTGGAACCTAAAAACGAATATCTCGAAAACAATTAGCTTAAGGCACTTCTAACAAGTATACCTTTTTTGTTGTGGAAACACGAGAAAAGAAGATTGTTCGGTCAGTTGTTGTATACAGGGTAGCGCACAAAGGTTATGATAAGTTATTCACCGATATAGTGCTGTAAGTGCCGCCCTCTAGAAGCTTGGCCATAAAAAATAATGAATTCTTGTTTCTCATACTAGAGAACCTCCCTATACCGACTTTTATGCTAAAATCTGAAATACTTCTCAAGCAATAAGGAAAAATAGAAAATAAAATTGTAATCTTGACACGCTGTATCTCGCAAACGATCAACTTTTGGACAGACCCTGTATAAGAGAGAGATCATGACTTTTTCAGAACATTCCTTGATAATTTCCAATCTGAATGATGGAGAGAAAGTGTGACGCCCTTGGCGTCCCGCCGAATCGCATTACGATCCACTTTTTGCACCCTTCCAGGCTATGAAATAATTAATATTTTATAAGATATGCCTCAAGGCACAATGTTAACCCCCGAGTAATTTCCTCTGTTACGAGAATCCTTGGAAGACCTGAAATAACATGAAAATTTATCACCTAGGACACCGTGACACAGACTACTTTCGGTCTGGATGAGCTTCCAGGGGAAAATTGAGGAATCCGGCAAGTAATTGTGCGCTGTGGAGAAAATTGAGACTGCGAGCATATGAAGAGCTCCTTGAGGATAATTAGGAAGAAGAAGGACTCTACCATACTTAGGAAGTAGCGCTAATTGACTTATTGCTTTTGAGGGAATGGCCGTATTTTCAACAAAGCTCTAGCTTCACACAGGGGGATGTATCAACCGCGAGGGATGAATAAAGGGGTGAATGGCCGGTTTAAGTGGGTAATACATTAAGGTCTGCAGGAGAACTATTGTATAAGTTAACTGCCAAAAATTGATCTCTTTAATCTATATAGATGTTAGTGTTTCTTTAAAATGTTGCATTTGCATCATAAAGGGACCAGGCACAAAATATATGGAAAATCAGTAAGACATATTTCTTGCCTTCCCGGACTAAAGCAATCCTATGATTAGTTTCTGAGGCAGATGCAGTGTTTGCATTATTTACAATAATGGTGAATGTGCCTAAGGTAACTCGCAGATCAAATACTCGGTGGATGAATACACTGAAAGAATGATTTCGTTAAAACACCTTGTAGGAAAGATTTGGTGTAATGTTGATCGTGAACATGATTCTCACAAGGTCAGTTCCAGGGCAAGACGATTTTTATACGAGACGTTCGCACCCCCATTTGTGACTCTCATGGTATATTTTGGGAAAAACGTTCGGACACGTCAATTTTGATTTCTAAGGGATCGTCTTTTAATCTATAACCGTACAATACAGGGTGATCCAAAAATAAGATATTGCGTTACATTTTAAGGGGAAACTCCCACTTTTTTAATTTTTAGATTATCCATGAAGTTTTTAGTCACTTTGTATAATAAAGTTTGCAGCTATCTGAAATTATAATAAAATTCGACTGACTTAACTTAATACTGATAATAATGGAATGCACGGCAAAAATAAATAATAATGGATACCAGCAAGAACATTCAGAATCAGTCAGTATCATCGTATGTCAAAGAAAAGCTTTCACTTTCATTTCAAATTGTTAAGTTACCTACCTAGTTGTGATAAATATTGAACAATGACTTCAAATCAAAAAAGCTACTGCTCGGTTGTTTAATGCGATACATCCAGACAAAAATATTTACGATAAGTATGTGGCTACGTTGATAAGAAAATTTGGAGAAACTGGATCTGTGTCTAATATTCGCCGTAATCGCCATAGACAAAATCGACCAGTTAGACATTAAGCCACAGAGTTTGCAGTTTTGGGACACGCAGTACTTGACAACAACACCCAAAGCACTCGTGGATTGGCTTCTTCTTCAGGATTTACACGCTCAACAGTACAAAGGATTTTGAAAAACAATAAATTTCACCCGTACAAGATAAAACTTGTCCATGAGCTTAATGAAGACGATTTTGATAGAAGGTTAGAGTTTTGTGAATTAATGTCCCAACGTTTAATCAACGATGCAAATCTGTTATTTAATATTTGTTTCTCGGATGCGTGTCTCTATTTACATGGTTCTGCAAATAGACACACCATAATTGTTGATATTGGAATGACTCGAATCCATATTTGTTTGGAGAGGTACACTCGCAATATCCTGAAAAAATAAATGGGCCGGCATTTTCGAAAATCATATTGTAGGACCTGTCCCTGTCTTTATTCCTGGAAGCTTGATGGGCGCAGAAAGGTCGTGGTTGTTTTCTTGTCTTTGATTATGACCTTTACAAGGTTCATATGAAAATCGATCTTGTAACGATCAGTACGACACCTCCCAACACCTTCCTACAAGGTGAAATATTTC